GACAGACTGTACACAGCTGTAACTACTGCGCGTAGCAAGCTGTATGAGGTGTAGCGCGCTAGGGACTGTAGGGGAGTGCTGAGAGAGTGACAGACTGTACACAGCTGTAACTACTGCGCGTAGCAAGCTGTGTGACATGTAGCGCGCTAGGGGAGTGTAGGGGAGTGCTAAGAGAGATTTTGCCGACTTATAGAATTAAGGTGTTGATAAAACTGTCACAACTCTCAATTGTACGTATACACACAAAATTTCTCGCTACAAAGGGACACTTAAAACGTAATAATTCTTAAAATTTATCTTTAATTACATTACAATTTATAAGACATCTAAAATGGGCGGAGCCCGTAACTATTGATGCGTCCGTAGAATGGATTTTTTGGGAAATCATTGGGGATGGACAAAGGTGTACAATTGCACTTATACAATATAACACCAATTGCTCGTCAATTAGACGCAAACCTATGACTTGAGACTGAGTTTTATAGTATAGGCCGGTAAACGAGCAAACGGATCACCTGATGGTAAGTGATCGGCGTCGCCCATGGACACCTGAAACACTAGAGTCGTTACTAGTGCGTTCAACGGTCTTTTTATGGGTAGAATTATTATTATTATTTGCCTATTTAAACCCGAACTACTTACACATCAAAACCGCTTAGTAATTCTTCTGAAATGTTTAACAAATATTTTGATACATGGTTAACAGAGGTGCACATTACGGCACCTTAATGCCACTGTACAACGTAACACCCACTTTTCACTATTTATGTTATGAGCCCCATGTAATAGGGTGTGAGTCTATTGCTATATACCGGGCAAAATTCTAGACTCCGTGCTACTACTGAGATTTTTTAAAACCCAGTTATACTTTGCCCGACCCTAGAATCGAACCCGAGACCCCTTGCCCGGCAGTCGCACTTACGACAACTCGGCCAACGAGGTAAAATTAATTCTGTTGATTAAAACTTGAATTATGATTTTGAAAACAAAGCTGCTGACATAAGCTAGTCTTAATATCATATTACAGATGTGTAAGTTTGTGTGTATGTTTGTTACTCAATCATGTGAAGACGGCTGAAGGGATCGAGGTGAAATTTGAAACATGTGTAGCTTATGGTCTGCACTAACACATAGGCTAATGGGAACGCGGGTGAAACCGCTGACAGAGGCTAGTAACAAATATAAGTTACAAATTTTCAAAGAACCACTTCGGTAAACCGATTTTAACTTAACTACATTATAATATAATTTTTTACAAAACCTATACATATTACCATATTACATATTATCCATTTTCTCATAAATATTACATTTATTATATTTTTTTTTAATTACATATGATTAGAAGAGCTGCCTTATACTATTTTAATGAGACATGGGTATACAGAAACCTAAATTTAAAACTGTAAATGCGACAGTAAATTTTTTGCGATTCGTAGATGGCAGCACTGTAGAATAAGGTTCCATTAGTACAATAAATTTTTGGTGGGATACGAGCAGACGGATTACCTGATGGGGAGCAATCAGCGTCGCCCATATTCACCCACAACAATAGAGGAGTTACAAATCCGTTGCTAACCTTTGAGAGAGTAAACAACCCGATTGGCAAGTGCGAAGATTATGACAAACCCTCTTATGTAGAGGAGACTCATAATCCAGCAGTGACCTGTCATGGGCCGTTGTACGTATACAGAAACTACAGAGCGCCACCTACTACGATCCTTACATACTTCTTGAGAGAAAATTAATTAAAAAAACTCCTTTTTTGGAAGTGGGTTAAAATATAGACTGCATGTCTCAAAAAAAATTCCTTAAACCCTAAATACATTACTTCTCTTTTTTCCAAAAAAAATTGATATCACATAGTATGCAATGGAAGATTTAAATTCACAATTTGAAGACAACAGTTAGAGAAACTATACCGAATATATCAAAATCTTCGAAGGGGTAAACAGAGGTGCACTGTATAGTATAATGTAACACCCACTTTTCACTTTTTTTATGGCATAAGCCGATAAACGAGCAGACGGATCACCTGATGGTAAGCAATCGGCGTCGCCCATGGACACCTGAAACACCAGAGGCGTTACAAGTGCGTTACCGGCCTTTTGTGGATTAGGAGTTAGAGGGTCGTTGGGGATTCAGGAATTGGGGAGATTGGGGAAGGGGAGGGTAATTGAGCCTCCGGTAACCTCACTTACAAGACAAAACACAACGCAAGCGTTGCTTCACGTCGGTTTCGGCTTCACGAGGTGGGATTCGGGAGACGGGGACTAGGCAGGGGGGGAAATTGGGCCTCTGGTAACCTCACTCACACGACGTGAAACAACGCAAGCGATGTTTCACGTCGGTTTTCTGTGAGGCCGCGGTATCACTCCGGTCGAGCCGACCAATTCGTGCCGAAGCATGGCTCTCCCACACTTATATCTATAAAACAATTTTGACATTTTTAATATAGTTTGATACACTGTTGTCTTCAAAAAACATTTTAACTACACAACTTACTATTTTTAAATTCGATTAAAAAAAGCACATTTTAAAAATCACATTTCTTGTAAAAGGCACTAATATTAACACGTAGACAACTAAATTATAATTACTTAAACTTTCAAGTCGCTGATAAGTGCCTGATAGGTTTATCTGGCTGATAATAAATAAAAGACCCTGTTTCATAGTTTCTGTACGCTAAACTGACAAACATACTAGTCTCATAACGCCTATACAACATGTAACGTAATTAACGCACACCCTCAAACACCCCAATTAGAATATTATGTTACAATCATATTCATAATACATACACTAAATTTTTAATTTAACATGTATATGCATCCTTACTGGTCTTGTCATAAGGTTTATTTTTCTTTATTTATTACGGATTAAATGGATTTTTAAATCGACATCATCCCTATTGCTAAGGACTGGTTTAAGTAGCCCTTAAAATACTGAGTACGACTGTTGATTAGACATTCTACAACACCTAATGTATTTATTTGACAATTAGCTTAACAAAAACTGAATCGAAGGTAGAAACAGGGTCTAAATTATCTGCTTGAAGCTTGATGTGAAACTGACAGTTAAAAAAGGCAAGGTTAGGGATTTATAACTTCATATTTTCACTATGAATTGTTCATATATGATAGCCTATAAAATTAATTATTTGTACCCGGCAAACGAGCAGACGGGTCACCTGATGGTAAGCAATCGGCGCCGCCCAGACACTCGCAACACAAGAGAAGTGCGTTGGCGACCCTTAGCGGGTGATTTAGGGTAGATGTCAGTAGGAAACCAGCTGATAAAAATATAGCCCAAACTATTAATATTAAAAACCCTTCTGTGGTTCGAAACTAGTACAGCTTTTCTCAGTATATTCACGTGAGTAACCCGCGATTTTTAGTTAATTTAGTATGTCTCACGATAGTTATTATAAAAACAATTTCTAACTATGTATTTACTAAGATTTTATTGATATAGAAAATTTTTATGGCATGAGAAGTGGACAAGGAGACCCAGTGGGTCAGCAGTTGAATAACGAAGAAGTAAAAATTGAAAATTTTTTAAACGAATTTTGACAATTTTCGAGTATACTTTTAAAAGCTGAATATCTCCACCACAGACATACAAATAAAGATTTTTAAGAAAAAATTACTGAAAAAGCATTAATAAAAATCCTTGTCAAATTCTATATCATGGACAAAATAATGCCATATTTTAAACCATACTCACGTAAAATGATCAAGCCAAGATATTTTTGGAAAATATTCTGTCAAAATTATTAATATTTTTGGCAAAACAATGGAACGTTACTGTCAAATTTTACTGTCAAAAACACTTGGAGATTTATCTCATACGGTCAGCCAAATCATTTAGTATGCAGGTAAGAAAATATTGATACAGTACAGAGACGGTAACCATTGGTTGTCTAGAGCCGACTGAGTTACAGAAAACATGGCTTCGTTACAAAGCGTACAATCCTTACTAATATTATAAATCTGAAAGTGAGTTTGTTTGTTTGTTCCGCCTTCACGCCGTAACTACTCAACCGATTGCTTTGAATTTTTGCAGACGTAAAGTTAGAAGTCCGGATTAAATAATAGGGTACTTTTTATCCCGGAAAAAATTGATACTTCCTAGGAAAAACAAAAATATTGGTATAGATGGCGCTGTATGTACTGGTATAGATGGCGTTGTATGTCATTTAAAACCAGCCAACGAATTACCTACTTATTGGAAAAATCTAAATAGCGCGATATAACCGAATTCCACGCGAGCGGAAAGCTATTTGTTTGTTTATCTGTCTTAAACGGCAGAACGGAGGTACTAATTAACGTGATTTTTTAACTGAAGGTAGTTGAACGGATGGATAGTCACATAGGCTACTTTTTATCCTTTTGTGACGCGAGCGAAGCCACGGGTAAAAGCTAGTATAGTATAACAATAGCCACTGTCTCTGTACTGAATCAATATTTATTTTCTTACCGTCATACTACATATGTTGGTTAACTGCATATTAACACTGATGTTTTTAATATTACATAATATTTTTTGAAAACGCTATGAGAAGTTATCATATTTTGTACAATTTTTTTTTAATGATATAAATTTTATCTTTTTATACACAAATCCGTATTACCCTTATAATAATAAAAACGACTGTACTGAATTTGATCATTTCGTAAAACTATAAGACTTATTAAAATAAATAATATTTATATTACTATAACACCAGATATCTCGATACAACTCAACTTTCAAGGCATTCCAAGACCCTTAACAATCGATCAATCACCGAAATATACAATTTTCGAAGATACTCGACAACTTTCGGACTCCAACGGGGCCCTTAACAAAAATCGAGCGTACTCAAAGCTATACAAACATTACTTAATCAACAAAATCTCATCAATTACGTGTCAAAAACGAGGAAATTCGAGCACAAAACCGTCGAAGCGCCATACAAAGACGAGTGTTGCTAGTTTAAAAATTAAAAATCTATAATATTATACCTTTTTCGTTCTTCTATATGTCCGGTCTATTCTAATCGGTGACGTCACAGATTGGATCATCTCCGCTATGTGTGTATCGACGCGCGGTTTCTGCAATCTCTTCGCCGATCGAGTGCGAAACTTCGCCGATTCTTGATTCTGCACTAAATTCGGCGTTAATGACTTTATACATCTGTAAAAGAGATTTTTTAGGTTAGATATTTGTATAAAAACACTGATGACTGTTGATGAAGCGAGAGAAGTATGTTAGAATCGTAGCAATTGGCGTTTTGTCTCTGCCTACCTCCATGGGAGACAGGCGTGAAGTTATGTATGTTATTTGTATGATGTAAAATTGTAAAAGTATATTATAAGATATATGCTGTTAATTGGTTACGAGGTTTTCTATGGAATAGACGGTAATCAAGCAGACGCATCACCTGATGGTATCAGCGCTGCCCATGGACACCCGCAACACTAGAGGAGTCACAGGTGCGTTGCCGACCTTTGAAAAAGGAATACGCTCTTTTCGGTTTGTAGGTTGTATCGGTTCGGAAATACCGCCGACGACAGATCATTCCAGTTTTGCTGTGCGAGGCAGAAAGCTACGAGAGTAGCGCACAGTAGTGGCCTGCCTACCATCTATATGATGGGGATGGACGCATATCCATCCCTAGCCATCACTATTAAAAAAATTGGTTGCCTGTAAAGTCGGTATACGGGCGAAAGTTTTACGTGACGACGACTTTGAGTGGTAAAATATTATGCCTGTCTCTCTCGCTCTTAGGCGGGCTAACCATGCCCGAGTGGAAGGGACGCGTGCCTCTCACTCGCTCTCATTGTGAGCGCATAACGTGAGCGGAGCGTAACGCAGTTTCTTGAAGTGTCACCCGATAAACCAATTTATAAGACTTTGACACGTCAAAATATAATTAGTCCGTCAGTTAGACATAGAAAAAATATTAGACACAATTTTTTTTTATTCTGTCGTATAAGAAAACAATACTTAGATAAAACGGAGTTAAGTTTAGGAGTGGGAGGTCGTTACGTCACTCTACCCTATAAAATGTAGTAAATCGTGACGTCCCACGATATTTCAAGTCAATATATCGTTGCAATAGTATTTAATTTTGTAAAAAGAAATACGTGTCTAATATTTTTTCATTATCCAACTGACGGACTAATTACATTTTTAATTTTCATACCCTGTCTACTACATAACATAACATAACATAACATCACGCCTTTTATCCCCGAAGGGGTAGGCAGAGGTGTACATTATACCACTGTATAAAGTATCACCCACTTTTCACTATTTATGTTATGAGTCCCATATAATAGGTGGTGAGCCTATTGCCATATACCGGGCACAATTCCAGACTCCGTGCTACTACTGAGAATATTAAAAACCCAGTAATTTTTGCCCGACCCGGGAATCGAACCCGAGACCCCTTGCCCGGCAGTCGCACTTACGACCACTCGGCCAACGAGGCAGTCGTGCGGAAACCTGAGCTTATAATCTCTAATTATAAGTTTGAAATCGGCAACTCGTATTGAGGAAGCGTAGTGATTGATGCTCAAAACTCCTCCGTGTGAGACGAGGTCATTGGTCAGCCGTACCGTTGATACTTATAGGCTTATACCGTATTGTACGCGGGACGATCTCCGGCCACCGTAAGCGCGGGCCTGCGGACGGCGAGCATGGGTGGCTCCCCGTCCGACCAGAAACAGACCCGAGCGTACGGCGCCGAGCGTTCCGCGCGCGCCTCAAAGAGCCATCAGACCACCACGGACGGGGCCCAGTAGGGCCGATGGCGATACGGAGTCACGGAGAACCTAACGGGTAACCGGGGCACCGGCTCGACGTGCAGGAGAAGGAACGGGGTGGTTTTTAGTCAGTAAGAGTCTGACATTCCCTCCCGCCTCACCCAGGCGGGAGCAGTCATTCGATGATTTTCCCCTCTTAAAAAAAAAAAATAGTTTCCATAAATAATGACATGATTGAGTTTCTATGGAAACCCGTGCGACGTAAATCCTCTTTTAAGAGCCAGTGAAATAGAATAAATATTTGTCGGCCTAATCATTTAAATAGGTATGTAGATATGTAGGCGAAACCGCAGTATTTGTCATGTTAAAGTTCAGATCCGGGTGTGAACAATACCCTATTGTAAACAAAATACAAAGGATGAGTGGTCACCTGGCAGCCTCCTGCAGTTTCCTAGCGAGCAGTTCGTTCTTCATCTTGGCGGCGGCGAGCTCGCGGCGCAGCTGCGTCTTGGTCTTGTTCCCGGCGGGGTGCAGCAGGGGGTGGCGCCGGAGCCGCGCCGCCGACGGACGGCTCGACGGGTCCGGGTCTACCATTTTCTGGGGGGACAAAGGAACAAATTGTTACTTGTATGATGACAATTGGTCACTGAATAGGATAGTTTCCTTGTTGATCTGAAATCAGTCGCTAGACTAATCAGATGTGGTTAAACTGTGTGGGTAAACTGTCAAACACCGCGAGGACACCGGTGTCCGCAACCTATTGTTCTTTAATTGTGTCTATAATGACGGTACTCAAAGGGTTAAGAGTGCACCAGGCCAATGCCTGCTGTCACTTATAATAAGGTCTCGCTTTAACCTTTACACAATGTTACCAATGTAATTAACTCCATGACCAGTGAATTGGGATGATGGGCGAGACGCTCACGATGTTGTTTTTATAGCGGTCTATTTCTGACGCTACCGTTGGGAATGTTCATGTGAATTTCGTCTGAATAGAATTTTTAATTTTATATGGACGTATGGTATTCAGTTATTTATATTACTCCCCGTAACCAGTTCATCAAGTAGATTAATTTAAACCATTAGACACGTAAATTATTATGTTTTCGGGTTACTTTGTTGTTGAGTCCCATGTAATAGGGGGTGAGCCTATTGCCATATACCGGGCACAATTACAGACTCCGTGCTACTACTGAGAATGTTTAAAAAACCCAGTAATACTTTGCCCGACCCGGGAATCAAACCCGAGACCCCTTGCCCAGCAGTCGCACTTGCGACCACTCGGCCAACGAGGCAGTCAAAAAAAGCTAATAAAAGAATGGTAATAAAACTTACTCTCAATAACTGGTTAAACTCCCTAGACAGTTTGGGCAGCTCCGGTAGCTTGCCATCTCTATAGTCGTGCCACTGCTGACCATTCTTAGGCAGGGGACCGCCACCGCCCGCCTCGAACAGTGTTAAACCTGAAAATAAAGAAATATAGTTAGGAAATACTGTGGCGAAGGTTAAGTAGAATAAATTTTGTCAGCACCGCTGCTCTTCACATGGGTGTCATATACCCGACTAGGAGATTTCACATTTTTCAACATTCCCTGTTAAAGTTGGTCCTTATAACTTTCATAAAATATTGACATTTTTAATGGAATGGAAACGATGCAAACGAGTAGAAGAACACGGGTTGGCGATTTCGATATTTTATTTTGACGTTCAAAAGTGCCTTCCTGGTCTAATCGAAATAAATGATTTTGACGATTACAAACTTATAATTAGAAATTATAAGCCCAGGTTTCCTCGCGATGTTTTCCTTCACCGTTTGTCAGTGGTGTCTAAATAATCTTAGAAAGTAAGGCCCTTGCTAAGTTTTTATGATTAAAAAATTATTCTTTGATTGATTTGATTTGATTGCACGGTTGGCGGGGTAGCGGGTTCGATTCCCACACGGAGCAACTGTTTGTGTGATTCACAGATTGTAGTTCCGTGTCTGTGTGTATGTGTATGTGAACTTGTATGTTTGTACACGTACACACGACACAGGAGAAAAGAAAATCCTAATGTGGGGGCAACGTTTTTTAGGGAACAGAGAGTATAGTTCCCTAAGATCGGAAAAGGAGGATCCTCCGACCAGGCGAGGTGATCGTGCCTGGCGGGCTTTCTGCCCAACAGTTGTTCGTTGGGATTTTCTATCCGTGTTTATTCGCTTGTAAACTTTGCATGTGCGATGTGGGATTCTTGTGACGTCATCCGTTGACATGTGGCATGCGTCGCCACAGTTTTATAAAGAAAAGAGAAAAATACCATTCTCTCATCAAAATGATTACTGTACTTACCGAAAGCGAATATATCAGCCTTGGTGAGCTGCGTTAGGTCCTCCTGTAAGACCTCCTTGGGCAGGTAGCGACAGTCGCCCTCCTCTACTGACGGGGACGACACGCACGTTACGTGGCCTAAGTCACCTGGATGAAATAACACATTAACTCGTCGAGTACCGGTTTTATAGACACAATTAAAGAACAATAGGTCGCGGTCACCGGTGACCGCTTGGTGTTTGACAGTTTAATATTATAAAAAACTAAGATAAATGTAGTTTTTTTTTTTCAGAGAAAAGGTGATACACCTGATGGAAAGCAATCGGCGCCCATCGCCCATGGATCACACCCGGAACATTAGTTTTCTTGTTTTTTTACTCTTTTTTTTTTGTTTCAGGTATAAAAGGCGAGATGTTTTTTAATGCCTCGTTGGCCGAGTGGTCGCACTACCGGGCAAGGGGTCTTGGGTTCGATTCCCGGGTCGGGCAAACTATTATTGGGTTTTTCAAAAATCTCAGTAGTAGCACGGAGTCTGGAATTGTGCCCGGTATATGGCAATAGGTTTACCCCCTATTACATGGGACTTATAACGTAAATAGTGAAAAGTGGGTGTTACATTGTAAAGTGGCATTAAGTGCCGAAATGTGCACCTCTGCCTACCCCTTCGGGGATAAAAAGGCGTGATGGTATGATGTTTTTTTTTTAAATATTCGATGTACAGTTTTCACTTTCCTACGATTTTATTATATGTATATGTATAGATAGATAATATAAATTGTAAAACTTACCAATCTTATACTTATGATGCGACTGGGGCTCGTCATCATCGTACCCGTCGTCGGAGTCGTGCGAGGGCTCGCCCTCCCCGCTGCAGATGAAGATGTTGCCCGGCTTTACATCCATGTGGACCAGTTGCAGGGAGTGGATGTAGCTGTAGGACATATTATGTATTTAGTCACGCATATAGCTATTTTGGCCATGTTTTAATACTGCGGGTATAATTTGCCCCACCACTACATAACTATTACTTATTATTTTGAACACTGCTGTCTAACCCTTCGGGGATTAAAAAGGTGTTATACACAAGACTGTACGGTAACTGGGGAGTATGCTACTGCGCAATTTGTCGTGAGTTCGATTACGTCATAAAACCATTCTTAGTGTGATTTTAAAAATATTATTGTCTGTTTGTGTGTTAAATAATAATAAGCTTAGATTAAGTATATGTGAACAAAATGGAAATATATATATTTGTTTGTTTGTGTTTTTATAATCCATATCGTGAGACAAACAAAATTGGATACTGTCCTTAATCAAAAATAAATTATATCGACTGTTCAATACAATAAAATATTAAAAAATAATCACACTTTCATTAATTGATTTTATGACCAACTCATTTTTAATATTTTTCCAGCAAATTTTTAGGAAATAAGTATATTGTTAGACGCTAATAAACGTGACGTCACACAATACACAATCTCGTACAAAATTCATAGAAAACCGTCGTTTTTGACAGTTCAAAACGTGTATTGAATTTAACTAAATAGTTGGCAAGTACCCAATTAAGCAAGCAGCGTGCGCGGTCGCGGCGATGTTGAAGGATCTTATGAGGAAGACCCTTTCTGTGGCTCGAAACTAGTAGAGCTTTTCTCAGAATATTCCGGGGATTTCTAGTTAATTATTGTTTGTGTGACTCACCCCCTATTACATGGGACTCATAACATAAATAGTGAAAATTGGGTGTTACTTCTGTGTGCACCTCTGCCTACCCCTTCGGGGATAAAAGGCGTGATGTTATGTTATTGTTTGTGTCTGTGTGTGTGTGAATACTCACGCCAGTCCATCAGCAATATGAGCTAGTAGCAGCAGCAGTTCAGCTTCAGCCAAGGGTCCGGACTCCATCTTCTGCTGCAGCGAGCCACCGTCACAGTACTCGTTCTGGATTATCATGTGGTCGTCTTCCGCCCATGCTGAGTAATATCTGGGGGTCAAGGGTTAATGTCATTGATTGTTCGCTAACATCCAAAGGTACATTATTAGTTTCACGAAGTTTCATTATTGTTTACATACATACATACATACATACATACATACATACATACATACATACATATATACATAACAACACGTCTTTTTTTTAAGGGGGGAAAATCATCGAATGTCTGCTCCCGCCTGGGTGAGGCAGGAGAGAGTGTCAGATTCTTACTGACTATAAACCACGTTCCTTCTCCTGCACGTAGAGCCGGAGCCCCGGTAACCCGTTAGGTTTTTCGGGGCTCCACATCGGCATCAGCCCTATTGGACCCCATCTGTGTTGGTCTGATGGCTTTAACATCACGTCTCTCCCATGGGGGTAGTTAGAGTTTTTATGTACTATGAGCTATATGTACTTTCCAAGATAATTAAGACACCACTGACAAATGGTGAAGGAGAATATCGTGAGGAAACCTGGGCTTATAATTTCCAATTATATGTTTGTAATCGCAAACCCGCATTGAGCAAGCGTGGTGATTAATGCTCAAACCTTCTCCGTGTGAGAAGAGGCTTTGCTCAGCAGTGGGCTTTTATAGGCTGTTGATGACATGCATCGCAGTTTTGTGTACGAGCACTTAAATCACCGGACCATCACGACATTTTTACCCTATAATAGTGTTTAATTTTGCTTAAGTACCTGACGACATGAGGATGTTTCCCCAGCGCGGCGTGGGCATAGACCTCTGTGAGCGCGGCCCGCTCGGCGGCCGAGCCGGCGACGGGCCGCAGCGACCGCTTCAGGGCGTACACGCATCCATCCAGTTTGTTCACACATTTCGTCACTCGCCCAAACTGCCCTCGCCCGATCACGCCCAGTTCTAGGAACTCCACGTTGTAGCGGAATATGTTTGATTCCTGTATGCGGGAAAAATATGTATTTGTTAGTTTCGTTAAATTGTTTGGTTTCCTGTCTAGATTTTCAGTTTACTCACCCCCTATTATGTGGGACTCATAACATAAATAGTGAAAAGTGGGTGTTACTTCTGTGTGCACCTCTGCCTACCCTTTCGGGGATAAAAGGCGTGATGTTATGTTATTATCAGTTTAGTAACTAGTAATTTCGTCGTTTTGTGTAGAAAATATCATTTTTTAAAAATCAAAGAAATATTGACATGCAATTTAAAATAGTTCAAGAACTAAATTATTGATATTCTAAATCTTTGAAAAAGTTAATTGTTTATTTTTATATCTAACATAAATGATCAAAAGGTACTGCGGAATTTTATAAATTAGTTATCATTCATAATAAAAAAGTATGTTTTGATTAAAATGGAACTCATAATCGTTGAAAAGTGATATTAGATCGGCCCAGTAGCTGGGCAAAAAGTTTCACTTTTTCTTATTTATTTATTTATTTATTTATTATTGTGATGTTAACACGGCTTTACACCAATTACATTAACACACATACAAAGAGAAATCAAAGAGAATCAAACGGTTACAATAACAGAAAAAGAAGAAAAAAAAAATGAAACATAAATAAACGTCACATTAAAAAAAATACAATTAAAATTAAATTAAAAAACATAAAGAAAAATCAGACAATTACAATAGTAAATGACAAAAAAGAAATATCACAGTAAATTGAAAACAAAACATTTAATTATACAATTCAACACAGACTTCAGAGACTTTCACAAAAACTGAGACAAACCTTTTTAATAGCTTTAAGCTCGTCCATGAATAGGTCACAGTCAGGGTAGGCTTCCACGAGGCTATTGAGCGCGGACAGGATGCGAGGAATGGGGGGGAATTCTTATATTTGATGGGGCGACGATTGGCCACAATCTCGCCTGATGGTAAGCGATGATACCATGTCACTCAAACCAAACATATTACGGGATCGATTTCTGTACGAAATATAATAATAAGGTTTCCATACCCTGAGTCTCTTGGCCGGCTGTTCAGGGGTAGCGTCGCCCCAAGTCGGTGTTTTTGACAACGCTCGCTTCTTCTTATTTAGAGCTTGGCCTGGAAATAAAATAAATTATATTAAGCTTTACAAATGCAATAGATAATGCTAATAACATAGCTTGTGACTAAGGGTCCCGATGTACGTCGAAACTTGTCGAGTGTGTCCTAAATAGATGACAAAAATATGCCATATTATACTATAAAGCTGCCTCGTTGGCCGAATGGTTGCAAGTGCGACTGCCAGGCAAGGGGGGACTCGGGTTCGATTCCCGAATCCAGGAAAGTATTGCTGTGTTTCTTAAAAAAACTCTCAGTTGTAGCACGGAGTCTGGAACTATGCCCGGTATATGTCAATAGGCTCATCCCCCTATTACATGGGACTCATAACATAAATAGTGAAAAGTGGGTGTTACATTGTAGTGGCATTAATTGACTTGGCGCGGTTGCTGGGCAACTGGTTGCCGCGCAACCTGTCGAGAGTTCGATTCCCGCACGGAACAACTCTTTGTGTGATCCACAGATTGTTGTTCCGGGTCTGGGTGTCATGTGTATGTGATATCGTATGTTTGTTAACGTACCCACGACACGGGAGAAAATCCTAACGTGAAGCAACAGTTTAGCAAAATATATAAAATTAAAATAAATTAATGCCGTAATGTGCACCTCTGCCTTCGGGGATAAAAAGGCGTGATGTTATGTTATGCTATAATTAATAATTTTAATTAAATCTTACCATCAGGTGTGAACGGATTGATGTTGGCGACGGCTCGCCTGTTCATCCTGGACTCGTCCAGCTCGTCTGGCGGCAGACTACCGAGCGCGCTGTCGTCGTCGCCTGACGGTGGGTGGAGGTGGTGACTGGAGCCTGACGGCATGCCTGGTGGAGAAAGAGGAGAATTAGAAGATGGTAGTATGAAATTTAAGTGTGGAGTATGCCGCCCATGGACACCCGCAACACCAGAGGAGCTACAGGTGCGTTGCCGACCTTTTAAAAAGGAATACGCTCTTTTCTTGAAGGTTTGTAGATCGTATCGGTTCGGAAATACCGCCGACGATAGATCATTCCACAGTTTTGCTGTGCGAGGCAGAAAGCCTCGTGAGAAGCGCACAGTTGTGGCCTGCCAACCATCTATATGATGGGGAAGCATATGCTGTCGCGAGAGTCGATGGCGAAAAGATGCGGCAGGTATCAGGTCAAAACAATTGCTCAGAGCACTCCCCGTGGTATAAGCGATATCGATAATTATCGCCCGTATACTGAAAAGCTACTTAATTAAAGAAAAAAAGAAAATTAACCCGTCGAGCGTCCGCGTTCCTTATGCATTTCCTTATCCTTATGCATGCAAGAAAATGCATTTATTTGGCCATTGGCACACGAAAACAAGGATCATTACAATAGAAATAAACCAAATACAGTCAAAATAAAAACAAAACATTAATAATAGATTTTATAAAAGAAAAAGCAGCATGGAGCATTTTTTCTTATGATCCACCGGGTGCTCATAAGGACGCTCAAAGGGTTAAAATTAAGTTACACTTAAATATTATGACATCTGTCATTCTACATAGAATTAACATTGACGGCACGGTTGGTGCGGTGGCTGGACAAACGGCGGTCGCGTAACGTGTCGCGGTTTCGATTCCCGCACGGAACAACTCTTTGTGTGATCCACAAATTGTTGTTCCGTTAACTAAAACTTACGGTTAACTCATGTGAATATACTGAGAAAAGCTCCACTAGTTTCGAACCACAGAGGGATTCTTCCTCATGAGCAGCGTGCGTGGTCGTGGCGATGTCGAGCAGCCTACTATCGTCATCATCATCAACAGCCTATAAATGCCCACTGCTGAGCAAAGCCTCTTCTCACACGGAGAAGGTTTGAGCATTAATCACCACGCTTGCTCAATGCGGGTTGGCGATTTCAAACTTATAATTAGAAATTATAAGTCCAGGTTTCCTCACGATGTTTTTCCTTCACCGTTTGTCAGTGGTGTCTAAATAATCTTAGAAAGTACATATAGCTCGGAAAAAGTCACATTGGTACTTGCCGTTGGTAGGTTTCGAACCTGCACCCTCATACATGAGAAGCGGGCGTCTTAAGCCTCCGGGCCACCACGACACTCTAGTATTGAACCACACTACGATAGTAGTCTAGAGCTTTTCTCAGTATATTCACATGAGTAACCCGCGATTTTTAGTTCATTTAGTATGTCTCACGATAGTTATTATAAAAACAGTACAGTTTCAAAAAACAAAGACTAGAAATACACAATAACAATTCTCTTACCCGACTGCGCATTTAATTTGGGCGGGAATAGCCTGGAGCGCGGCGGATGGTGTGATGGAGTCGAGCATTTCTCTAGCAGGGTCTTCGGCGTGTGTGGACTGTCGAATAACCTGAAAACAATAGGGAATACCATGTTACTAATATTATTAATGCAAAGGTTCATGAGTGTGTATGTTTGTTACTCAATCACCTCAAAACTGGTGAAGGGATTGGGATGAAATTTGGAAGAGGGGTTTCTTTTTTATTTGGGGGAGGGAGGGAATCATCAAATGACTGCTCCCGCCTGGGTGAGGCGGAAGGGAGTGTCAGACTCTTACGGACTAAAAACCACCCCGTTCCTTCTCCTGCACGTCGAGCCGGAGCCCCGGTTACCGATTAGGTTCTCCGCGACTTCGATTCGGCATCGGCCATGTTGGGCCCCATCTGTGGTGGTCTGATGGCTCTTTGAGGCGGAACAGGGGTAGATTGTGGTCTAGAATAACACATGGGCTACTTTTTATTCCACAGCAACGTGAGCGACGCCGAAGACAGAAGCTAGTTTGTTGATAGAATTTTATGTCAATTTGTTACTTCTATTACGGAGTCGACAAAGATGTAAAACTATAGAAATTCCTTGTCTCGCCCTAAATACTAAGAACCTGAATAATTGTTTGTTGCCCGCGCGGCGATAATCTCCTGAACTGAATTGGATTCAAGAGTAAGCCGGGGCTTACTCTTGAATCCAATTCCGATCGATCGACATTGGTATTGTGAAATTTCGTACTCTTTAGTGCAACACTAGCGCCCATTGCATCCGTCCTGCGTGGATATTTAACGAACTAAATGGTATTGAGTTTGGCTATATATTCCGTACTCTGAATGCTATCTTAACAGCTACGATAGGGGTTATACAGTTGACATTGAATAATTATTAAGGTTTTATTGGATTGAAATTGCATTAACAATTGATATTGGTTTCAAGAGTAACCACCCAGACCCGAGCGTTCGTACTTAAAGAGCCATCAGAACCACCACAGATGAGGCCCAATAGGGCTGATGCCGATACGGTGCCGCGGAGAACGTAAAAGGTTACCGGGGCTCCGGCTCGAACTTCAGGAGTAGGAACGGGGTCGTTTTTAGTCAGTAAGAGTCTGACACTAGGTGGGGAAGAAGTCATTATGACTTCCCCCTTAAAAAACCCCGGTACTCGCAAATCTTTCGAAGCCAAAATCAAAAACAGCTGTTCCCCAAATCTACACTCAAAATATCCTATTCAAAGTAGCTACACAATAAAAATTACTATACAATCTTGGGGCACACCTTTAAAAGGTCTCCCCTATTTTTTTTAAACCTTATTCGTTAAGTGAATTCAGGTGTTCAAAGATTTCTATGGATGCGCAAGTGTTGAATATTTTTGTAATAATCTTACAAGACGGGGTTTTTTCGATACCTGCGTGTATTATTATTATTTTCGAAGATAGGTGTTATTATTGTAGGTTAAAGGTATTATTGTTTGATTCTGTGTAGGGTGGGGAAACCGGATCTTTGGTATGATGCAAGATTTTGGCAATTTTAACTAACTACAGTATAATAGGATGCCTAATTTTTATTTTAATGTCCGTCTGGAAGATTATTATTTTAAATCATTAGACATGTATTTTTTACTATCTTACAGAAACGAATACTTTCGACGACATATTGATTTGAAATGTCGCGTGACGTCACTTCTATGTACATTTTATACTCCTAAACTTTGATTCATTTTATCTAAGTATTGTTTTGTTATAGGACAACAAAAAAATACGCGTCTAATATTTTTTAATTACCTAACTTACGGACTAATTAGATTTTTAATTTTCATGCCCTGTCATCATCCCTATTATGGAAAATTTCGTTCGCCAAGTGGTTGCAAATGCGGTACGACTACAGTTCAATCAGCTCATTATAATACATAATTTTCGGCTTACGATCACGTAACTGTTAGACGAAATCTTCGAGTTCCTCGTCACTACATATACATAATAATTAATTTACTATGTTTCACGAAAGTATTATTATAAGTCAATGCGTGTTGAATTTGATAAAATCGCTAATTCGGTCGGGCTAAATCCTAAACAAATCATTCGGCTTTTTTTAAATGTCCTGCGTTTGTGAATGGTGTAGGCAGGTGTGTATTTGTTACTACAGATATGTATTACAATATAACCTTTTACCATCAATATTATATTATTGATCCTATCATCAAACACCGGGATCAAATTACAAACTTCCGAGAATTGAGTATTTGCCAACTAGTCGAATTCAATACTTTTCTCGAACTGTCAAAAACCGACAGTTTTCTATGAATTTTGTACGAGATTGTGTATTGTGACGTCACGTTTTTTAGCGTCAAACATCGTAATTATTTCTTAGAAAATAGCTGGTGTATTAATAAAATTAAATTGGTCATAAAATCAATTAATGAATGTGTAATTAGTTTTTAATATTTTATTGTATTGAACAGTCGAAATAACTTACATATTTTTACTAAGGAAAGTATCAAATTACGATGATATAATAATTCCACACATCTCCTAAACGGCAAAAATACGTTAACATTCATTTATAATCTTCGCAAAAAAAATTGTCCAAAAAACCAGTATGAAACACTGTCAAACGAAATTCATTAAAAAACCAACTTTGAAACCATCACTTTTGAACTCACTTTCGCATAACGATTCACACGCAGAACTACCTTCCGGGCTAAAATCCACCGTATATTAACCCGAATAACGTATAAAATACCTTGTAAGTGAAAAAAATAATACGTAAAACCACGTTCCTGGTCAAAACACACCGTATGTTACAAAAAATAAGGTGCAAAATGCCTTGTTTGATACTAAAGGTGTGGGTGTTTTTTTTTAGCTAAAGGCAGATGTCAGCTGTTGGTGATCATATGTTTTCTTATATAACTGTAGTTTAACTGATTTCAAACGAAATTCCTTTATATGACTCACGTAGGCAGATCTTTTGTTAATTTTTTTTTTGTCAAAACTTGAGTATGGTAGGTAAGTAGATCTGTTTTGAGTAAGAGTTCAAAGTTACCTAGTTTGCAAGTTTTTTGATAAGTATCTGAATTTATTGTCATCCTAGCTGTTGCCCGCGACTCCGTCCGCGTACAATATGAATTTTAGGACATTACTTTTTTTTTCTTTCAATTTTCCAAAATAAAAGTAGACTATGTTACTCCTTAGAACATCGAGAACATCGTAGGCTATGTTACTAGTTAGTACATCAGCTAATTGCCAAAAAAAGTCCCCGTCAAAATCGGTCCAGCCATTTCAGAGATTAGTCAGTACAGACAGACATAGACAAAAATTGTAAAGAAATATATTTTGATATGTGTATCGTTGTTGTTATTGTTCATTATTATCAGAGAACGTTGCTAATCTGTTCTGGTATACGACACCCACGAAAAGAATGGCGGTGGTATCATACGTATTTTGCTCTATCATCAAAACACGAGTTTCGACAACACAAATACCTCACTTAGGATATACCCGGGTTCATTAAAATCCAATAGATAATTAATTACGTTTACAGCACGTCTATTTTGCCTTATAATTTAGTCAAAGTCAAAATCATTTATTTCAATTAAACCAGAAATGCACTTTTAAATGTCAACAAAAATCTACAGTGAATCTATTTGCTCATTCCAAGGTGTAGATTCCTATGGAGAAGAACGAGCAAGAAACTCCATAGGTTACTTTGTAAATCAGGTTCACAATACAATAGGGTAGATGCCCAATTTTTATTGTAATGTCCATATGGTAGATTATTTTAAATCATTAGACACGTATTTTTTATTTTCTTACAGAAACGAATACTTTCGACGATATATTGATTTGAAATTTCGCGTGACGTCACTTCTATGTACATTTTACAGTTTTAGCCCCCACTCCTAAACTATGATTCGTTTTATCTAAGTACTAGCTACTTCCGCGTGGTTTCACACGCTCTGCTCAGCTATTATTGGTCGTAGCGTGATGTTTTACAGCCTATAGCCATCCTCGATAAATGCGCTATTCGACACAAAAAGAATTATTCAAATCAGACTTGTAGTCACGGAGATTAGCGCGTTCAAACAAACAAAAAACAAACTCTAGCTTTATAATATTAGTATAGAGTAGATTGTTTTATTATGCGACAAAATAAAAAAATACGTGTCTAATATTTTTTCATTACTTAACTTACGGACTAATTATATTTTTAACACGTTAAACGCCATGGGGGTCACCGGTGACCGGCGTTAGCGGAGGATATACCTTCAACAGTTTTTTATTGGCAGTCAGTCTTAATTTTCATACCCTGTCATCATCCCTATTCTCTAGTTACATAGCCTTGTTGGTTCATTTGTGTGAGAACAATGTAACACCAAAATCCAGTCAGAGAGATAGAGGCCAATAGCTAGATAGAGGTCAGCTCTAAAGGCGCCAGTTACGTACAAAACGCCCAAATAAGGACATCGCCTAACCTATTGCCATACACCGTACAAAATAAGTCTTGCGCAGTTGTCGTGACGGACAAACCTAAATATATTCACATTTAAATGTCAATATGTTAAAGAGTCATCTGGCATCTTTTAAATAGAAATATCACGGTGTTTTGAAACTAGGTATGGGCTGTGGTTTCGCTCGAGTTTACACAAAATATCTAGAGAGTAGGGAAGCAAACGATACATACGGATCACCTGATGGTAAGCAATCAGCGTCGCTCATGGACACTCTTAACGCTGGAGGAGGTACAAAAAAGCCATCAGACCATAACATATGGGGCCCAATAGGGCTGATGCCGATCCGGAACCGCAGAGAACGTTAAAGGTTACCGGGGCTCCAGCTCGAAGTACAAGAGTAGGAATGGGGTGGTTTTGTAGTCAGTAAGAGTATGACACTCCCTCCGGCCTCACTGGGGGGGCGGGAGAAGGCATTCGATGATTTTCCCCTCTTAAAAACAAAGGAGCTACAAATGTGCATTGCTGTTTTTTTTTTTTTTGGGAAAGTGGTCAAGATCGTGACTGCATAACTAGAGTTCTTTAATTCGATTCTTTAAGACTTTGACTGCCAAAAAACAACTGTTGAAGTTAATCCCCATGGCGTTTAACGTGTTAATCGTACAAAACATAAGAAGTCATGATTGAAACTAGAATCGAATCGAGCCGCGGAAGGCCTAACCGGTTGCCGGGGTTTCAGCTCGAAGAGCAGGAGTAGGAACGGGGTGGTTTTTAGTCAGTAAGAGTGAGACACTGCCTTTCGCTTCACCCCTATCTATTTCAACTCAACATCATCAAAATCCACACATCAGGTTAAAAAATACAAGTTGACAAACAAACATTCATATTACAAAAAATTATATTAGGATATGAATTTTAGCATTTGCTACAACACAAAATAACAGTATAATGCATGGAAACAGGTTTATCTAGTTTCTGAATGAGGTCAAACTATGAATGTTGGAACAACTGCCTCGTTAGTCGAGAGCAAGAGGTCTTAGGTTTGATTTCCAGGCCGGGTAACATCATAACCATCTATGTGAGAGTTGACTGCTGGACTATGAACCAATGAACCTCATCAACAAAAGAGGGGTTTGCCATAACCTCCACACTTGGCAAGGAGATTGGAGATTGTAGTTTAAAAGGATCAGGTTTATCACAGAGCATTGTTAGTTAAGTACCCAGCCTATGATAATCATGTAATCAGTTATTCGGGTACACGACACCCCCAAGAAGAGTAGGGGTGATGACAAATGTATTCTACTATATCATCAACATAAGAATTTAATGGTATTTTTTTATTTATGAATAGTAGCACTGACTTGGTAATTATGCCTGGTAATTATGGCAATAGACTCACCCCCTATTACATGGGACTCATAACATAAATAGTGAATAGTGGGTGTTATTGTACAGTGGCCATAAGTGCCGTAATGTGCACCTCTGCCCACCCCTTCGGAGATAAAAGGCGTGATGTTATGTTATTGTATATGTGCACTACTGGCTATCTTCAGGGATAAAAGGTAAAAGGTGATAACAAAAAAATTATGTATGAAAACCAGTATAACAAGTTTCAAATGAGGTCAATTATGAATGTCGAAAGGGTTCTGCTTAAAATGGACAAGTTTTAACATGTTAGACATATTGAATGGCGAGGATGTTTCTTTCTAGAACATGCATCCTAGATTTTGGGACTTATTTGAGTATTGGGGGGTAAGTAGAAGCGTTTTGTGTTGTGATTATTTTTGTAGTTACGTTAACTATTGATTTCTTAGTTTAAAATGATAAATAATGTATCATCAAGCTTCTTATTCAAGAAAGGATCGATAAAGATGAATTAGTAAAACTAAAATTACTATTAAAATGTGAAAGAGAGACAGACAAACATCCTCTCGCACTATAATATTAATAAGGATAAAAAGAAACAGGAAATAAATGCTAAAATATTATCAATTGATTGAATGGTCATTCACAAATACCTATTGTCAATTCCCAAGAAAGAGAGGGGGATACTAACAAAATAGAGGGGAGGGAGACTGAAAAAAATGGGACTTGTTGAAACTTGTCCCTATACATATAATCAAATCTGGAAACTATGTAACTGAAATTTGGGTTAAACAAGTTTAAACCTGTTGAAACATGTTTATTATGGTATTTGTTTTATATACCATCGTGTTATTTACTGATGAGTCATTGAGTTTATGGAGATGGTAATGCTTTGAATGTATGTATTTAGAAATATAATAACATTACTTACTAAGCTTTAATGTTTTGATATCCCTTTATCTAGCTAATAATATACTTAACACCTTGAACGCCATGGAGGACAAGGTATGGGCCACGATAGCGGAGGATATACCATCAACAGTTTTCTGTCGGCAGTCAAAGGCTTAAATATGAAAGTTTGTGTGTATGTTTGTTACTCAATCACATCAATATGGCTGAAGGGATTGGGGTGAAATTTGGAAGAGGGGTAGATTATGGTGTGGAATAACACATAGGCAACTTTTGAGTCCAATACCAGTACATTTCTATGCAATTGAATGTAGAAAACGATTTATGAATGCTTGTTTGTTGTTTCACACAAAAAATACTGAATGGATATGAATGATTTTAGGCACAGAAAGATTATTAGTCTGGATTTACACATACAACTTTTTATCCCAATAATGTAGGTAAAGCACTGGCTTTACCTACAATAGACCTATATTATACCTACAGATATGTACTGACATATCTAAGCATTTTAATATGAGAAAGTATGACAACAAATTGGTATGTCAAGTCAATTTTTTTAAGTGGGGAATATCATCGAATTACTTCTCCCGCCTGCATTAGGCGGAAGGGAGTATCAAACTCTTACTGACCTAAAAACAACCCAGTTCCTACTCCTGCACTTCGAGCCAGAGCCCCGGTAACCCGTAAGGTTCTCCGCGACATGTCAAGTCAATTTGGGGTCATATAACTTGTATCAGAGAAATAAATTTGAATATTTGACAATTCTTCAATACTCACTAAAAACTGACAATTAAATTGAAAAATGGGCCTAAAATGTAATAATGCTACCTACATTTATCAAATACAAATCACATCAAAATTGATCTAGCCATTTATGAGTATTGAACGTAAAAACTGAATTTACTTTCACATTTACTATTTGTCAAAGTTCAAGGACTTTTTTTAAATACCATTTTAACATATTTAGTCTTACTACTGTTATAATAATTATATTTAAGAAATATTATACTTAGTTCTAACATAACTTCACACCTTTTATCCCCGAAGGGGTAGGCAGAGGTGCACATTATGCCACAGTACACAATAACACCCACGTTTCACTGTTTATGTTATGGGTCCCATGTAATAGGGGGTGAGCCTATTGTTTATATGTAGTTTTGTTTTATATTTTTATTATACTTAGTTTAGTATGCACAAAATTACCATCAATATCATCATAGTCAGCCTATAACTGTTGGGCATAGATCTCTTTTCACAAGGTGAAAGTTTGAGCATTAATCACCATGCTTGTTCATGGTGGATTGGTGATTTCAAGCTTGATAATTTGAGAAATGGGTGTTTAAAGTATTCTTATACATAACTATATAGCTATAGAGATAGATTAAGGGAGTGTTATACAGCATCCATTATACAGTTGCACTTAACTTAGGTACACATAATTTCCTATTGAAATATGTTAAATTATCTGTAAGTAACTACTACTTAAAAGAAATTTGAACGAACAAACCAAAATCAGTTAAATATAACCATTTGTTTCATTATTTTATTCTAAAATAATGTCTTATTTAAATCTATCAAATTGTATGTTGTAAGTTTGTTACATCTTTCTGTTTATCTCCTCAAGAAATCTTCTTGTAATTTTGCATACATAGGATCAGTAGAGTTATAGTTGGTCAGGTAGAGAAGTACATTGGCTATAAACATGCAGACAAAGCTGCTAGTAAAAGCTAGTCTTTCATCTATAGGTTTATGGAAATTGTTATAATTATATGATATGACAGTGAAATGAGATCTTATTTAGAAATCAACCATTTTGGACACAAATAAACAAGTTTTAGTACAAGTTCGATGGTTGTTACAGTTCAAACTTCATTTCAAATTAGGAATGACCAAAAACAACGTAATATTTAACGATCTAGATGCGAATTAACAGACTTTTACATATAAAAGAGTAATAATGTCCAGTTAAAAAGTTGTATTCTTCAATTAAATGTTAATTACCAGAACAAATTAGCGTTAAAGTGCAATTTCCAACAAAACTAAAGCTGAATATACAACAAACACAAAAATTTTAACTTGGCTGCAATCCAAAACGAAAAAATTGAGAGCGAAGTGTATAATTTACTAATTACTATGACATTGAAATTGTAACAGATTCTAAAGTGAAAGTTACGACGGTAATTATATCATAATAATGACCTACAAGACGCTACCGTGCTCATATAAGCCAGGGAACCACGTAGCGTGGTGATTTTCGATAGAAATTGCATGCTTAGACCTGAGTACGTACCTTAGAGCCCTAACTCGTTTATACGGAGGACTATGTGTAACTGGAGGAGGTACAGCATCCCTCATGCCATCATCGTCATCCATGCTGCTAAAATCCAACTTCCTAGGCACTATTGAAGAAGGAATCGGACTTAAATTATCCGAAAATATATTGAAGGAGTCTGACATTTCACACGAAGTTTCTGTCGACAATTCCGATGAATCATGCTTGTTAATGAAGCCCGTCTTCATTCTATACCACTCAGTCATCTTCGTTAACACATTAAACACTTTTACAACAAAAATATCACAATAAAATCACTTTTTTATTTAACAATTTCACAAAACGATCTCACTTTCACGCACTAACAACGTTATGGCGGATGACGCATAGCACCTGTTCAATTGTTCGACCAATAAGAACGCGTTATACGACCGGTGAGTTGAATACTCAAATTCTATTGGTTGAAGGTATTTTTTTTAAATAACGAAGCTGCCTCGTTTAATGTGATTGGTCCTAATAAGGACGCGTTCGTACAAGAATTAGAAAAAAGACGCGTTCATAGAATGCCTTTTAAATCAAAGTAAAATCGATTTAATGTTCAACTCGATCGACATAAAACGAAATATATTTTAGCCGGAGTTAATACGAAAATATTTTGCATAATATCAGCTAATTCTGTCATGATCTGGTATTTGCAACCGATTACCCATTAATTGATTTTTTTTTTTAAAAACATTCGATATATTATGTCACGTTGATATATTATGATTTTGAGTTGGAGATTCAGTACTCAAATCAGACTAAATAAACTTGTTTTGGCTTTGTTGGCATTGAGTTTGTGTGTTTGTTACTCAATGACATTAAAACCACTGAAGGGATCGGGATAAAATTTGGAACAGAGGTAGATTATGGCCTGAATTTCTGGAATAACACTAAGGCTGCTTTTTATCCCACGCAAATACAGGTGAAGTCGCTGGCAGAAGCTATACATACATATAAACACGAAGACCTTTAATAAAATGACTCGCCTCGTTTCAAACCAGCAGTTGTAGCCAAACGCCATTTAGCGCTGGTCTACTTGTAGATAAAAAAACTAAATTATATGGGATTGACGTAAATTTTGACACTTATCAGTGTCATCCCCATACATTTAGTTTTTTACCAAAGAGTATAATAAGTATAGTTACTCTTTCGGTAGACAAGCGCTAAAGTGGCCGTGGTGTTTGGCTAAAGGCACAGGACAGGAGTTTATATTTATGTTATGAGCAGTACCTATACATATACGTGTGAAGTTCGTCACGTCGGTTGTATATGCACAACCGACATTTCAATGACGAAACAAGTACCCAATACCTACGCATTATTATTAGGAATTTGTTAATTTACATAATAATAAAGGTACATGATACGCCTTACAATCTAACGCCATGTCCAACAAAACTATATACCTATAAATAGTTTGACTGTTGGATCTTCTATATCTAGCTGTCTATTAAAAACCTAACGATATTACATTATGTATGTTTGAAGTAATCATGTCAATAGCTATAAGTTAGGTATTTTTTAACTCTTGTTTGTGAAGTGTAAAATGGTTCTGTCTCGGTAATACAATAGTTTTGCAAAGAAATAAAATGTTTATAACAAAAATAAGTGGTGAACCAATACAAAAAGCAAACTTCCAAAGCGCATACGAACTCATAGTACATTATCAAAACATCACACCATGTCATTCTTGAAGAGGTATTTCTCGTCGGGTGGCACGTGCGATACGAATAGTGCCTACAAATTTATTCGCGTATTTCCATAAAATTTATTTTAAACTAAAAAACATGACATCTCTAATTTTAGTTTTTATGTATAGGTACTCCTTATAGCAAGTTGTTTTGCCGCGGGACGAAAAGTTTCAGTCACGGTGTATAAATGAATACTTACTTATAACAAACATTTGACCCGATTACGTGCATAAGCCTTACGTTAAGACCAAAGACAAACAAACCACAAGGAACGGACAACAGCATCCTTTAAACTTGAGACGCGAGTTAGGCGATCTAACCACAAAGATGACTAAAATGCTTGTCAAACTCAAACGTGGTGATTAAACAGTGATTAGTTGATTAAGTATGGTCACTTCTAGAGGAGGCTTATTTCAAAAGAAAAGATTATGTTTAATAATAAACAACGACAACCTATAATGTAAATTGTACAAAGTTTAAAGAGTTTTATAAGTTTTGTTCGCTTGTATCTCCCTCGAAGAAGCAAGCTTTTATCAAACGTGGCGTGAACGGAGAATGTCTTTCGATCGATCTTGATAATAAATCATGCACTGTTAAACAAGGATAATAAAATACTTAAATGTTTTACATCTTAAAAACCGTGTGTAGCTCATATCTGAGTTGAAATATTCTATGTAAACAAGACCTTAGCTGACTTCATTAGCGTAAATAGCAAATACGGCTAGAAAAGCTATCAACATGATATGGATATAAATATCTACTTTTATGCCCATTAGCTAAAAAGTTAACTTAGATTATACATACCTCTATGTTATATGTACCGCAATGCAGATGAACCATTGAAGGCGACTTTAGTTATTGGGTATTTCCCGCTTTCAAATCGATAACCACTCGAGTAAGTTGACTAACGTTAGACGATTAATCGTCTATTGAAATAGTTTTGTAATGTTGTCATTGTGACGTGCGTGTTTTATTTTATTTTAGGTATATTATTTTGTATTCATAAAATAAAAACTTCAAAAAAAATTTGTTTGTCTAACTTGTTATGTTATAAATGTTCATAAAATGACATAAGTTACATAAGTCTACGTTAGTCAGCCGTTTTTATTATATTAAATTAAAAATATCTGTATCCTTGCATAGGTTTTTATAAGAAATATAAAATAACTCATCAATATTAGATTTCATTTTCGTTTTGAATCGAATATTAATTAGGATTATTAGTCGATTCCACAACTTACTAAAATAAATTATGCAAGCACTTCCTTATTACGTTTTGACGTTTTGATTTGACAAATTCACAAATAAATCAATCGTGTTTGTAAAAATAATCTCGTTTTGTTCGCTTGTTTGGCTCACAAATGGGGTATTCCCTGAAGAATTTAAAATTTTATCCAGATTAGTGCTTAGAAGACGTTTGTAAATGACTCAGTTCCACCATAAAACAGTTTAGTGCCGGCAAAACGAAACATGGCGATCTTAGGATGGATGAAATTCGTGTTTTTAATCAGTTTTCCTTATTTGTGTTTGCAAGAAACAATAAACAAAGGAGAAATAATATTCCACTATAATAATACGTAAGTCTTGAAGTTGACTTTTGGCTGTATGTGTGCATATCTTTGCCTGTTTCTTATACTTGTTCACTTTTTTTTTTACACAAAAGAAGTAATTTTAAAGTGCTGATGACAAAATGTTCATCTACTAGTTCACTATCTCTATTTCTATTCTATGTTCTGATACTTATCTGATGTTAAGATTTTCGATGATTAGCATCGAACCTAATCAACTAAATAATACATATGAGGATATCACTGATAACAAAAAGTTTTTTTAATTTATTATTTCTCTCGTTTCACATTGAATGTTAATTTGTGCTCTTTGTAATTACGTAAGTAATTGAAAACTATTGTGTACTGTTTATTAGATATCTTAGATGATTTATTGTAGTATAATTGTCTATACAAATGCAGTATTTTTACTGAATATACTGAAAAAAAGCTCTACTAGTTTCAAACCACATAGGGGTTCTTCATTGTGATTGGTTTTAAATATTTTATTGTATTGAACAGTCGAAATAATCTATTTTTGTTTAAACTGTCAAACACCGCGAGGACACCGGTGATCGCAACCTATTGTTCTTTAATTATGTCCCAGTTCATATTCTATGCAGATAAAGTCGCAGGCAACAGCTAGTTTTAACTTAAAATTGTATTTTTTACCACCTGGATGTGTACATTATGTATGCAATAAATACTTGAACCTCTGTCTACCCCTTCGGAGATAAAAGATTAAGTTATGTGCAAAAGTACTACATATCATATTACGATTACGAATAACGGTTAAGTCTTACATTGTGTATGTGCACCTCTGTCTACCCCTTCGGAGATAAAAGATTAAGTTATGTGCAAAAGTACTACATATTATAAATTACAATTACTAATAACGGTTACTGATCTTGATCTCATTTTAGTTAACCTTCTTAACAGATTTCTCTTCTAAAACAACTTACAAAAACTTAACTTCGTTTATTTAATTTTCTCCATTAGTTAGAGTGTGTCTTACGTCGTACTTATTTCCTTTCCTTATATTGTAAGCACCTAACTAATAAAATTTGGGACCTAAAAATTACTTAGAAAAGGCATTATAATAGTTACTAAAAACCATATTAACTAAAAATCGCTCACTACTTACGGTTACTCACGTGAATATACTGAGAAAACCTCATGAGCAGCATGCGCGGTCGCGGCGATGTCGAGCAGCGTTGGCGCTAGCATATGTGTACCAACGCGCCCTCTGTCGTACAGCACGAATGTTTGCTTCCAACTCCGGCGGCGGCGCGTTGGACGATGTTAAAGCGTGATAAGGAAGAACCCCTCAGTGGTTTGAAACTAGTAGAGCTTTTCTCAGTACATTCACGTGAGTAACCCGCGATTTTAGTTATTTAGGTTGTCTCACAATACTTATTATAAAAAAACTATAGTTGCAACAAATATGAACATCAAAAAGTCAAAGTCAAAGCACTTATTTCAATAAATCCTAAATTAGGCATTTTTTAACACCCTTCTCGGTCTGTCTGTCAGTGAAGCTAGGCGCTCGTTCCAAAGTGTAGTTTTGTATGGAGAAGAACGGTGTGCGTTACCCAGGCCAGATGTTGTCGAAAATGATCATTTGAATCTTATGGATAATTAGTTGTGCGGCTTCTGTAATTGTTGCACACATTTTTAAATTTGTTGCGCTTATAGTTTTCTATTATTTCACAAAAACATTTCCTGCTGGGGCTGCCTTCCTTTTTCTTTCTAATGGGAATATTTAAATTATTACTAGCTATAAAATTAGTTGTCTAGATGCAGTAAATATTCTGCCTTATTTTGTATATTTTGTTCTTTCATCGGTTGCGAAGTTATTTGAGATTTTTCTTGGGTTTTGGGCTTTGGGTTTTTGATTTTGCCCGATCTTTGAAATGGTTAAGCGGATTTTTATCATATTTGGTACATGGCTTCTTAGGAATTAGTTTAAATTTGTTGTGCAATAAAAAAACCAAAATAATACATAGCTTAAAGGTTATTTCATTAAATAGAAAGACACTTCAATCGCTCCCAGCACTAGAGTTAGAGTACGAGTTCACTCGTTGAGTTCCTTGGCAAATAATTACTTAGATGTCTCACGAAAGTTTTAATACAGGAAATTATTATCAAAAAGTAATAAATAAGTAAATAAATACAATCAGTCAATATAATAAAGAGTCCAATGACTACTTACGCTTGTAAATATTTTTATTGTTTTATCTAGAAAATGTATAATGATTCATTGCTATGTACATATGCCTATATCTTAAAGTGTTGAGACAATGGAAAGTAGTACATAGACATACACATACGACATATAATAATTAATTAGAGAATCATACTTCATTAGTCAAAAAAGGATCACAATGCGAATGAGTCAATGTAATTTTTTTTTTTGTTGTTAGCAGTAAAAGTATAAATTTCTATTCTTTCATATCTATCACGACTTTTTATCTCCGAAGGGGAAGGCAGAGCCGCACGTTACGGCACTTAATGCCACTGCAATATAACACCCACTTTTCACTATTTATGTTATGAGTCCCATGTAATAGTCCCTTTTGCTATATACCGGGCACATATCCAGATTCCGTGCTACCACTGAGATTTTTTAAAAATCCAGTAATACCTACTTTATCTCAAGACCCGGCAGTCGCACTTGCGACCACTCGGCCAATGAGTTTAATACTAACATCAACTATAAATATTAAAATATATATGTTAATCTGTAAAGTATAATATCTTGGGGCCATAGTTACCTGTGTGTGGCTCGAAGGTTAAGACGCCGCTTCTCATGCACGAGGGTGCGGATTCGAAACCGACCAACGGCAACTACCAATGTGACTTTTTCCGAGTTATTTATTTATGGATTGGAAAACCAACAGCTACACATAGCAAACAAACAGATAACATAATAACACCAGAAAGCCAATTACAGGTTTTCACGAATAGACTTCTCATTATTCAATAAAAAATATGTTATATGTACTTTCTAAGATTATCTAGACACCACTGACAAACGGTGAAGGAAAACATCGTAAGGAAACCTGCGCTTATAGTTTCTAATTATAAGTTTGAAATCGCCATCCCGTATCAATCAAGCGTGGTGATTAATGCTCAAACCTTCTCTGTGTGAGAAGAGGCTTTGCTCAGCAGTGGGCATTTATAGGCTGTTTATGATAGTTGCCTGAAAATAAAGCTTAAATAATTAATGTAGCTATTTTTTTGTTTCAGATATAAATATGATGTACCATACACGGTGGCTGTCAATAAAAGCACGGAATACATACTGGAGTTCGGAGGGGTAAGTTGTGATCTATCATCATCATCATCATATCAGCCCTGCAGCTGTAGCCAAATGCCATTTAGCGCTTGTCTACATGTAGAATAGAAAACCAAATTATATGGAATTGACGTAAATTTTGACACTTGTCAGTGTCATCCCCATACATTTTGATTTCTACTCTCTCTGTAGACAAGCGCTAAAGTGAGTAAAGTGGCGTTTGGCTGAGAACAAACCTCCCCGGTGACTTCTACATAGACCTGATATAGCGTCGCGGAGAACCTAACGGGTAACCGGGCCTCCGGCTCGACGTGCAGGAAGAGGGACGGGGTGGTTTTAGTCAGTAAGAGTCTGACACTCCCTCCCGCCTCACCCAGGCGGGAGCAGTCATTCGATGATTTTCCCCCCTTAAAAAAAAGACCTGATATAGCAGAGAGTGGGGTGGAGTAGGAACGGGGTAGAGTTTAGTCAGTAAGAGGCTAACTCTCTCGCCTCAACCAAGGCTGGAGAAGTCATTGAATGATTTTCCCCCCTCCAAAGTCAAAGCATTTATTTCAATTAAACTATATTTTGGTACTTTTGAAACGTCAAAAAATACAAAATAAATAATAGTCAGTCAGTCCGTCAGTGAAGCTAGGTGCTCATTCCAAAATGTAGATTCGAATGGAGAAGAAAGACCAAGAAACTCCATTCGTTACTCTTTTAAAAAAAGTATGTTCTACAATGTCTGATGCATATTCCAATACTGTACGTATATGTGAGAACAATGCACAGACACGCAAAAGGGAGTTATTGTAATTATAGAAAGACTAGCTTTTACCCGCGGCGTCCCTCGCGTCACAAAACGATAAAAAGTAGCCTATGTAAAAGTAGACTATCCATCCCTTCAACCTTCAAGTAAAAAATTACGCTATTAGATTTTTTTAAAAGACATACAGCGCCATCTATACCTATATTTTTGTTTTCCCTCGGAAATATAAAATTTTTCCGGGATAAAAAGTACCCTATTATTTAATCCAGACTTCTAACTTTACGTCTGCAAAATTTCAAAGCAATTGGTCTAGTAGTTACGGCGTGAAGGCGGAACAAACAAACAAACTCACTTTCCGATTTATAATATAAGTAAGGATAATAACCACCCACAAAAATGGTAGACAACTTGATAAAGGTCTGCGACAGTGGCTGTATGCAAGTCGCTTTCAACCTCGCGACGTGTAGTCTGCGGGGGGACTGTAGGGGGGCAGCCGACCGAACGTGGCTTATATGTTATGACCATAAGAATAATATAAGAAGATTATTCCGACCCTAAGTAACGTGATAAGGTGAAAAGAATAACTATAGTAAAAAAGTTGCATTACTACTACCAAACACACACATACACATTCTCACACATGCGCGCACAAGCGTCCAAAACTTCTTCCATTCCCCTATATTTCCATATTGCACTGTTATAGGCAAAAAAAGAAAAAAAGGTTTTATTGATTTTTTTTTTGTAACATTTTTTAATTGTATACCTACTGTTATTGTTAATTTTGTAAAAATATGTAAGGAGGAGCGGGGTCTCCTAACACAGACATATCTTGCTTAAAAGGAGTCCCCAAATACGATCACCCAATGTAATCACAAATAACAATAATAAAAGGATGTATTCATTTAAAAAAAAAACTGTACTCTCGAATACTCAGTCACCGATAGATGGCGTTGTTCTAAACTATTTCTCTTTGGGTTCCAGGAGCTGGAAGCATATGATACTCCTGCTAGAGTGACTGTAGCCAGTGACTTCGCAAATAAAACATATCCGCTGTTCATCACTGCTAGGCAGCAGAAAGGTATGTCAGTTTTGTTGGGTCCAATATTGAAATATTGTTTAGCAACCTTCCACAGATGTTATAAGTCCCAGTCAGAATTAGATATTTAAAAGATTAAATATCGTCGGTTAAATAGATACATTATTTACAGTACAAGCGCTGGAAGTTATTGATTTCATTAAAATTCATTTGAAACCATTGACAGTTGCGACATCTAGTGAACTTGGCGTGAACTATTTCAAATGTCATTTTTTCATATAAAATAATCTTGTTAGCAGACTGAAAAATGATATACCATTTTTCCGTTTAATCGACTATAATATGTAATTATTTGATCTGAAGAGAAACTTAGAAGTCGGGTTCAATGGACATTCATTATTAACCTTTGCCTGACCAGGAAATCAAACTTCCAACCTATTTCAACATCAATATAGCCCGTTATTGTTACAACTGGACTTATGGATCTTCTCTAAAGAATAGTTGTTTAACATAATAAGGGTAGTTTCCTAAATTTTATTTTAATGTCCGTCTGGTACATTAATTTAAAACTTTAGACACGTATTTTTTCTTTTCTCACAAAATTAAATACTTTCGACGATATATTAAACTGTCAAACACCGCGCGGTCACTGGTGACCGCAACCTATTGTTCTTTAATTGTGTCTATAATGACGGTACTCAACGAGTTAATTTGAAATATCTTGTGACGTCACAGCGTGGCACATTTTGTAGAACGTTATGACGTAACGACCCACTCCTAAACTTAACGCCATTTTATCTAAGTATTGCAACTCAATACGAGAAAATAAAAAAATACGTGTCTAATATTTTCTCATTATCTAACTGACGGACTAATTTGATTTTTTAATTTTGATACCCTGGAAACTACCCAATTCCGAAGTTTGGCTGGCGTTTTGAAAATCACAATTTAAAAGAGCGCTGCTGCCCAGTCTCTGTCAAATATGTAATCCCTTAAAATCATCGCACACCTGACAAGCACGGCTCAGCAATGCCATCATTTAAATATGAACTTTAAATCATATGCTGTACGACATGTTTCATAACGTCAAAACAAAAAAGCTGTTAATAAACTTTTTGTATTGTTGCCATACTGAATGTTAAGTGTGGGAGAGCCATGCTTCGGCACGGGCACAGGCAATGGGCACATGCAATGGGCCGGCTCAACTGGAGTAATACCACGGCCTCACAGAAAACCGACGTGAAGCAACCACAGCGTTGTATTTCGTCGTGTGAGTGAGGTTACCGCAGGCCCAATTACCCCCCTCCCCAGTCTCCCCAATCCCCGAATCCCCCACAAACGTCAAATTCTCAATCCTCAAAAGGCCGGTAACACATTAATAACGCTCCTGGTGTTCCAGGTGTCCATAGGCGGCGCCGATGGCTTGCCATCAGGTGATCCGTCTCCTGGTTTACCAGCTTATCCCATAAAAAAGTAATAATAATGCTAGAGCCGTGGTCGTTAGCTATGCGATGTGCCTTGAACGGGTATACGATACCCGCGGGAAGAGCAGGGGTGGTGACAAAAGCATTCAACCCTGCCGTCATCACACGACAGCACCTGTTCTCCTAGCAGATTATAGATAGTGAATGTTAATTAAAGAATATTTTATCTTATTTCCAGGAGTATTCTCATGGCAGCTTCCAATGATTGTCCAGACGCCAGTCAGCTTGGAACAGTTTACCAACATATCCCGAACTCTCTGCCCACATAACAACATGTTCACGGAGGACGAAGATACTTGTGGTGAGTGGAATTATAGTTGAATGATGAATGGAGGACATTTTTTAATACTACGCTTGTTTTGTCGCAATTGGTAGGAGATCAATCGGTTTTTGGTAGAAGTTTAATACAAATTGAACGGAGATTGCCAACAAAATGTAAACACGAAAATCCGTCTCAAAAAACAGGATGTGTGAGTTTAAGTGAGTGAGTGGTGAGTGAGTGAGTGGGTGGGTGAGTGAGTTAGTGAGTGAGTGAGTGAGTGAGTTAGTGAGTGAGTGAATAAATGAGAGATCGAGTGTCTGGGTGTGCGTATATACATAGGCCGAATGCACCCCTGCGTTCTTTGGAAAAAAATCATGAGCTTTATTTTTTCCTCTCTCATTATTGCTTACGTAAAACTTTATTTGTTTTATCCAATAGATTTAAGCATTGAATTCCTAACACACAGATTTTCAAAGAAAAAACACCCAGCTTTCTAAATAAAAATATCCGACTTTTGCCGACTCATCCGACTTTTCCGAAATTACCGACTTAGTCGACTTCCTTATATAATTTGAATTCTCTTTTTGTTCACGCTGACTTAGTCGATGGGAAACGGATTAGAGTCTACTGTGGCCCACTTATACGTAAATATATATAATTTATAACTCATTTTTTATATATTTATATTATAATTATAATTTATAAGTAATTTGGTAACCCTAGTAGTTTTTAAGTCGATGACAGCCCTATCGGATCTGCTTATGACTAAGAGTTATCGAAATTCCCTGTATGTATAAAAACAATTAATTTTATCAATTTTGGTCTAGCTCTTTAGGAAGATAAGTTAATAAAAAACTAATTTTGATTTTACAACGACCGAAATTTGTTTTTTATTCAAATCGCAACAACAACTACTGATTAGTCTCGGGTTCGATTCCCGGACACGTACTAGATTCTACTTCGAATGCTAAGTTAAACATTTAATTCGAAATTGTGTACCATGTAACCAGAACCCCCTATTACATGGCACTCAGAACTGGTGAAAAGTGGGTGTTACATAACATCACGCCTTTTATCCCCGAAGGGGTAGGCAGAAGTGTACATTATGCCACTGTACAATGTAACACCCACATTTCATTATTTATGTTATGAGTCCCTTGTAATAAGTGGTAAGCCTATTACCATATACCGGGCACAATTTCAGACCGTGCTACTACTGAGAATTTATAAAAACCCAATAATACTTAGCCCGACCCAGAAATCGAACCCGAGACCCCTTGCCCGGCAGTCGCACTTGCGATCACTCGGCCAACGAGGCAGTGGGTGTTACATTGTACCATATATATATACACCTCCCGTCGAGAATTTAAAGACATTTTTAATAACATTTGTATATATATATATATTTTCTCTTTTCCAGACGTATCAACACAGAACACACCAATTATTCATTTGACGTCTTCGTCACCAGATTCTATAAATGTGACGATTCTGGTAGAAACTGTCCAAGACTTTTTCGTCAGGTTGAATTCCACTACCAACTTGACAATCACGCCTAGTCAACCTATGTACTATTTCTTCCCATTTGACCAATCTAATAATTTAGATTTGAGCTATCAACATGCGAAGAGAAAGTACCTTTGCAACCAAATGGATGAAAGCGAAGGCTCTAGTTTCCATAGGTACCTTTTGAAGTCCAATTTTGAAACTAGAAGCTGGATGTCCAGACCAAAAAGTGTGATAGTCATGATCGAATCTGACGATGATATTTGTGCTGTGGTCTCTATACAGAATTTTTCGGTGAGTACCTTATTGTATTATTGTATTATCCTACTATATCTTTACTAATATTATAAATCGGAAAGTGAGTTTGTTTGTTTGTTTGTTTGTTCCACTTTCACACCGTAACTACTAAATCGATTGCTTTGAATTTTTGCAGACGTAAAGTTAGAAGTTCGGATTAGATAATAGGGTACTTTTTATCCCGGAAAAATGTGATATTCCCGAAGGAAAACAAAAGTATTGGTATAGATGGCGCTGTGTGTATTGGTATATGTTACATAGGCTACTCTTTATGCTTTTATGACGCGAGCGAAGCTGCGGGTAAAAGCTAGTAATATTATAAATGCGAATGTTTGTATGTTTGTTTGTATGTTTGTCTGTCTGTAACTCCTTTACGTCAAAACGGGTGAAGGGATCGAGATGAAATTTGGAACACGAGTAGGTTATGATCTGGAATAACACATAGGCATAATTCAAGTGCGGGAGAGCCATGCTTCGGCACGAATGGGCCGGCTCGATCGAAGTGATACCATCAACGAGCAGAAAACCATAGTGAAATAACGCTTGCGTTGTGTTTCGTCGTGTGAGTGAGGTTATCGACTACCCTATCCCCTCCCACCTTCTTCATTCTCCCCAATCCCTGAATCCCCGACATTCCCCAAATTCCTAATCCCCAAAACTGCGTTATCAGCCGTAACGCAGTTGCAACGCCTCTGGTGTTCCAGGTGTCCATGGGCGGCGTTGATTGCTTACAATCAGGTGATCCGTCTGTTCGTTTGCCGGCTTATCCCATCAACAAAAGGCTACTTTTTATCCCACGAAAACGCGGGTGAAGTCGCTGGCAGACGCTAGTTTTATTAACATATTTTAAGTACACCAACAAAGCACTTTTGAAACTCAGATAAAACATTTAACCCTTTGAGTACCGTCATTATAGACACAATTAAAGAACAATAGGTTGCGGTCACCGGTGTCCTCGCGGTGTTTGACAGTTTAAATTCTATATAATATATAACAGCCTGTCAGTGTGTCAGGTACTGAATATAATATAAAAGTTATTTTATTGTGTTCAAAATAAAGTCTAATATTGTGTAACAATGTCAAAGTCAAAGATCTTTATTGTGAGACAGTGGTTACAAAGGTTGTTCTAAAGGTTGTTGTGATCTGGCACTGCTCCACCATGTTAGGCATACAATAGTTGGTGACAAAGTATATAAATTGCAGTAGCTATACATTATAATCTTCGATCAACAATAGCAACTAGATAAAGGGTTACGTACAAAATTAAGCTCCAGTTCTGTCCGTGTGAATAATAATAGTAAAAAAATAACAAACAGAGAAAAATGTTTTAAAATAGTTTTAAGTTCAACCTAATAACACCCATGGCACCTAATAATAAAGTCATAAATCGTCAAAATATTATCGAATACTTACGACCATTCGTCACATAAGACGAGAAAAGCATTTTCTTACTCCTGTCATATAGAAATTAAAAGACATAAGTGATACAATATCTAGTTTGAATTCAATCTTAAGCTAGACCAAACAAAGATAATTTTTCCGTTATTGCCTTGTGATCTATGTCGTTTTGTTTTGTTTCGTTTAGCTTTTTCGAATTTCGAATTTCGCTACAGGAGGTATGTATAGAGTCGTGTTGAACACTAAAATAATTTTATAATATGAAAATTAAGATTTCGGGATCTTAGTATACATCACTTATTTTTATTAGCGGTACGTTTTTGTGTATGTTTATTTATTTTAAGTCCAAGTCAAAATCATTTATTTCAGTTAGACCAGGAAGGCATTTTTGAACGTCAACAATATAAATTTAAAAGTGAAGCTATTTGCTCATTCCAAGGTGTAGATACCTACGGAAAAGAACGAGCAAGATACTCCATAGATTAGGTACTCTTTTCCAATCAGGTTACAATACAATTTTATTTTACAATACAAATCGACTCCATGCATCCTCTGTTCTGTTTAAACAAATGTTTGTGTGCGTGTTGGTGAGGCTTGGCCAAGGGATCGCCAACACACGCACAAACATTGGTAGCGTTGGTTTATAATTGGTAATTTTGTCTAATTTTATATTATTTTCTAGTTTAAAAGCTTAAAATAAAACTTATACTTTATGTACTTATCGAAAGTAAGACACTCCGGCCGTTATACTGCTTTTTCGGTTATTATTTTTGCAACTTGCAATTACCCACTGCAGCATTGTGAGACGTGATTACGTTGGCCATGTTTGGAGCGTACTAAACAAAATAAGAGCTCACTTCTCAAGTGAGCTCTTATTTGTCGAGACGATTTTCTTGCGCCGACCCGATATCTAGTTGTTATTGTTGATCGAAGATTATAATATTAAATACTGATTGAATGATGAAACTTGTATTAATTTCATTTTGCTGTGGAGGTAATAGTATTTTGTTTTGTTGTAGTGTCCAGTATTCGATAACGAGAGAGATATACTGTACGATGGGTATTACCTAACTATGACAAGGAGAGGGGGGATTACTTTAACTGTAAGTATATGTGTTAATGTACTCAGTATGCTCATCACTGCCTCGCTGCACCAGTGGTCGCAAGTGCAACTGCTGGGCAAGGGGTCTCGGGTACGATTCCCGGTTCGGGCAAAATATTACTGGATTTAAAAAAAAATCTCAGTACTAACACGGAGTCTGTTACGGCACTTTATGCCACTGTATAATGTAACACCCACTTTTCACCATTTATGTTATGAGTCCCATGTAATAGGGGATGAGCCTATTGCCATATACCGGGCACAATTCCAGACTCCGTGCTACTACTGGGAATATTTAAAAACCCAGTAATACTTTGCCCGACCCGGGAATCGAACCCGAGACCCCTTGCCCGGCAGTCGCACTTGCAACCACTCGGCCAACGAGGCAGTTAGATAATTAAATGAAAAATTTTCAATTTTCAATTTCAGCAAGACACATTCCCAGTAGGTTTTTACATAGTATTTATAGTGAAGACATCGGACGAGGATTGTACGGACAAAGGTGGTAATGCCACCTTGCCACATGTGGCACAATATCTCGGATGGTCACAAGAAGAAGTGGTACAAGTCGTCACCAACGACGGCAGGGTGAAAACCTTTAGGTAAGTTAGTCAGTCAAGGTATTTATTATCGTCCTCATCATCAACAGCCTATAAGTGTCCACTACTGACTAAAGACTCTTCTCACATGGAGAAGGCTTGAGCATTAATCGCACGCTTGCTCAAGACTATACTCGGAATTTTAATTCAATTCCAGATTTGACAATTTCAGTGTTGCAACGTTATGATAAGTACTAAATAGTAACGTTGCGAAATTATTCGATATGGAAATGGGATATTTCTGGATCGATTCTTCTCGTTTATAATTTTACTCTCGTAAACTAAGTATATCAGGAAATTAAATATTTCTGAACCGGTAATTTAGTTTTGCAGATTAATTAACGATCTGAGACTTTTCTTTTATAATTGTGTGTGAAATAAATAAAAAAATGTAATCATGAAGGGACATGACAAATAAAACAGTTAGATGTATTATGGTAATAATTTATTTTATAAATTGTCGCCGTCATCACTTTCTGTAACATTTAGAGGTATTACAAAACACACACACTGATTGTTTATCGATTTTTGTGTGCATCACTACACTATTATATGTGGTATCATTATTTCACAAAATGACAGTAGCTAATGTCAAATCTGGAATCGAATTAAAATTCTGACTATACTTGGCAATTTCAAAGTTATAGTTAGAAATTATAAGCCCAGGTTTCCTCACGATGTTGTGATGTGATATGATTGTATTTCAGTATGATATTAAAGAACATTAATATTACAGTTTCAGAATAATACAAACAATATCGTACCAGGAGTATGCGATAGCCGCCGGCGCAGCTTTCGCCTTCTTCGGCGCGTTCTACATAGCCTTTATTATAGCAGTTGTGTGTCGGAAGCGGATACAGCGCACTACTGAGCTTAGTGAAGAAGGTATGTAGTTTTAATGGGGGATACTGTATTTTTGCTCAATTGGCCGACATTTCCTAACTGACTACTCTGAGAACAAATGCCTAAACAAACTCAGAGGTCCGTCTCTTTTAAAGTCCAGATAATATGTCTTGTTTTAAAAATAATAAAAAAGATTGACTTAATTTAACTTAACTAAAAATCGCGGATTACTCACGTGAATATATTGAGAAAAGCTCTACTAGTTTCGAACCACAAAGGAACAGAACTCTCAGCGGAAGTAGCAACACCGATGCGAGCGCTGCGACCCCGCACTGTGTTTATGAGGAAGAACCTCTGTTATAGTAATAAAGTTCACTTTTGCTTGCGGGGATTTTAGGTGAGAGAAATACGTGGTTGCATTGCACTGATTTATTTACGACTGGTTTAACATTATGGATTCTTAATTCTTATGATGACACACACACATGCATTCGTACTTAATGAACATACCTACATATACAACAGATTCTAACACAACATACCGCCCACCAAAGGGCCTATTTGCCCTTTAACGGAACGCAATCATAATAAGGCAAATCTAATTATATTATAATACATAGGTACAACTACAGGTTATGCCGTTAGTAATTTAGCAGTTACATTTGATAATGAGGCAAATTAACACAAACTCGAAAATAGTCAATCAGTGTCTATTGGTAAATAACATAACTTGTTAAATGGTCTTTGCACAACACTATCACCACTTTTCACACTATACACACGGGTCACACCGTCTTTGCCCGGATGCTTGTCAACAATTCGTCCCATCATCCATTTAGCTGGAGGCAAGTTATCTGCCTTTATTAAAACAATGTGTCCGATCTCAAACTCCTTGACCTTGTTGTGCCATTTCGAACGTTGCTGCATCCGTGACAGGTATTCTTGTTGCCACCTGTGCCAGAACTCAGTCATTAACCTCTGCTGATGATGCCATCGTGACAAATGACTTACTGGGATATTTTGCAAGTTGGGGGTCGGCACAGTAATAGGTGTTTCACCGATCAGAAAATGACCAGGGGTTAGTGGTTGAACGTTGTCGGTACTCGTGTCGTCTATTATTCCTAGAGGTCTTGAATTGAGGCAAGCCTCCACTTGGCATAGCAGGGTGATCATCTCTTCATAGGTCACGTGTTTTGTTAAGATTCGTTTTAGGTGATGTTTCATCGATTTCACCCCAGCCTCCCATAATCCACCCATGTGTGGGCTATACGCTGGGATAAAATGCCACTTCGTGCCATCCAAGGCTAATTTCTCAGCGACTGGACCTTCGAATTGTAGTTTTGCTTCTGCCCAGTCTCCGGCCAGAAGCTTGTTAGCTCCGACAAAGTTGCGTCCTTGGTCGCTCCATATATGGGCACATCTTCCACGTCTAGCTACAAATCTTCGAAAGGCTCCAATGAACGCGTCTGACGTGAGATCTCCGACGAGTTCCAGATGAATCGCCTTTGTGGACATACAGACAAAGAGGGCGATGTATGCCTTGTTCGTCTTTGCTCCTCTGCCTTTTGACATCAGAACCTGATACGGGCCTGCGAAGTCTATGCCGGTATTCAAGAAAGGTTTTGCAGGTGTAACTCGAGCACGAGGTAAGTCGCCCATCTGTTGTGACCTCGCAGTAGCGTTTAGTTTTGCACAAATAAGACATTTTCTTATCTTTGATTTAACCAAAGTCTTTACTTTCAGGATCCAGAATCTAGTTCGCAGGAAGCATAGCGTTAGTTGAACTCCACCGTGCAGGGTTTTCAGGTGAGCGTCAGCGACGAGGAGCGCCGTAAGATTGTTATCACGATCAAGAATGATCGGGTGTTTACCGTCTTCGTTTAGGTCCGAGTGACGCAGCCTTCCGCCCACCCTGAGGATTCCATCATCGTCCAGGTAAGGTTTCAAATTGTTTAGTTTACTCTGTCTTTTAATAGGTCTCTTTGTTTTCAGGTGATCAATTTCTTCTTCGAAGCTGTCTTTCTGTGTCATTCTCAAACAGGTTTTCATCGCGTCATCTAATTCCTCCGTGTCTACAGGTAAGTCCTTGTTTTCAATTATTCTGCCTTTTAAGAATCTTTTGCAATACACGATTACTCTTAGCAGTTCTTGTAAAGTGTCACAATTTTCAAATCTTGAGGTTATGCTGTTCTCATTTTTAAGTTTTAAATTAACTTGTATTATTTCCTTTCTTTCCAGATCAGTCACCATCGCTTTCGGTCTACTGTATTGAATTTCTCCTTCCTTCAACCACTTTGGACCTGTCCACCACAGTTCGTCGTCTTTAAGGTCCAGCAGGGATTGTCCTCGGGAACCAGCGTCAGCTGGGTTTTCTGGTGACTTGACATGGTACCAATTATGGTTTCCGATGTTATCGAGTATTGCAACAACTCTATTTCTAACGTACGTGTTCCATCTCGTAGGATCACCGAAAAGCCAGGAGAGCACAATAGTGGAATCAGTCCATGCGTATATCTGACTAGAGGGTATATTCATTGCTTCCTTTATTTGCTTCAGGAGTCCGGCAAGCAGCACCGCACCACTGAGTTCTAGACGAGGTAAGGACTGGGGTTTAGTAGGTGCTACCCTCGTTTTTGCTGCGAGGATTGATGTCCTTACTTCACCACTATCTGTTCTGACCCTTAGATCGACGCGTCACAGAAGCCGTGGATAGTTATGTTGTCCATGTTACTTTCAGAAGTATGGAGCCATCTATCTATTTCAATCTCAGGTAAGTGAAGATGAAACGATTCTCGTAAGCTGTTCCATTCAGTGGCAATGTCTTCGTCTATTTCTTCATCCCATGTTACTCCTTGCAGCCATAATCTTTGGATAAGCAGCTTTGCTGGCAAAACAGAAGGCGCCAACCAGCCTAATGGGTCAAACAATCTCTGCAAATCAGCTAAGATTGTTCTCTTCGTAAGAGTCCTGGATTTAGCAGGTAAGTTTAGGCTGTATTGAAATTGGTCCTTGCCCATATTCCAATATAATCCTAAAGCTCGAGTGATTCCGTCTAATGTTATGTCTAGGTTTACATGTGCGCTTCTTTCAGATTCTTCAAATGCTTTAAGAAAGTCAGCATTATTAGAACACCATTTCTTCAGTTTAAAACCACCTTTCTGGAGTATGACGTCTATTTCCTTCGCCACTTTAATTGCATCTGTGACGTTGTCTTTACCAGACATCATGTCATCCATAAAAAAGTCGCGACTTATTATTTTTGCAGCTTCGGGATAGTTTTGTCCTTCATCTATGGCTACTTGATGCAAGGTCCTTACTGCCAGGTAAGGAGCAGAAGCAGTCCCGAACGTGACTCTGGTAAGACGATAGTCTTTGACAGGTTCTTGTTTATCATATCTCCACAGTATTCGTTGCAGATCTCTGTCTTCTTCCTTAACGATGACTTGCAGGTACATTTTTTGGATATCAGCTACGAAACAAACTTTCTTCATACGCCATCTCATGATGAGACTTCTCATGTCATCCTGTATCTGTGGTCCGACCATCAATTCGTCGTTCAGTGATACATTGTTACTTCCCCTCTGAGAAGCATTAAAAACAGTTCTTAATTTGGTCGTTTCTTTCTCTTCTTTAACTACGGCGTGGTGTGGTAAATACACAGATGGATTGGCAATTTCTTGTTTTGGTACTTCTTCCATGTAGTTTAATTCGTAATCTTTCATGACTGTAGCATAGTCGCTCTTCAATTTTGGATTGTTCTTGAATCTTTGCTCTAATTGATATAATCTCTTCAATGCTATTGTTCTTGTATCTCCTTGAGTTGATAATAGCATGTTAGTTTTCTTGGGTAGCCTCACAATATAACGTCCGTCTTTATTTCTCATAGTTGTGGTTTCGTAAAATTCTTCGCACTTTCGTTCTTCTGGTGTGGGTTCTGGTTTGTCATATGGATCTTGTTCCCACATTCGTTTCAGCATATCATTCAGATCAAGATTGAGGTGCATGACGATAATATCATCTCCCGGTAGTTTGGTTTCCACGTTCCCAAATAGAATCCATCCCAGGCTGGTGTTTTGAGCACATGGTGTTCCTGGGGGGCCTTTGATAACTTCACCCTTAATGATTTGGGCATACACATCAACACCCAGTAATAAATCGATTCTTCCTGATTTATTGAAGCTTGGATCCGCTAGAGAGAGTCCTTGGAGATGCGGCCAGGTGTTGGTGGAGATGGTTTGTGATGGTAGCTTGGCAGTGAGACGGGTTGATATGATGTACGTTTTGACTGTAAAGTTGAAACTAGCGTCGTGTCTTGATAGTAATTGGATTTCTGCAGAATGTTTCACATTTGTTTTGGTTGAGCCGACTCCAGTGATGGTGCCATTAACAGGCGTTCTCTTCAATCGTAACATCTGGGCCGCTCTCTCACTCATGAAGGAAGCTTGGGAGCCGTGGTCAATCAAAGCACGTAGTACTGTCACTTGTCCCGATTCAAGTTCTCTTACAGGCACGAGGGCTGTGGCCAGTATTGCAGTGGACGAAGTAGCAGTGACATGCGATGAAAGTAAAACGTTAGTTTTGGCGGAATCTTGCTGAGTTTCAATGTCTTTATCTTCTTCTTTCTTGTTGCCTGGTTGGTTTGATGACGTCATAGGCGTAGACTGGTGCGTAAGTGTGTGATGACGTTTGTGACATTTTCGACAGGACATCTTCAGGCGACATCTATAAGCTGAATGTCCAGGGGCCAGGCAATTATAGCATAGATTGTGTTGTTTAATGTACTCACACCTCTCTGTTGGGCTGAGTTTGATGAATCCCTCACAATGACACAATGTGTGATCTTCCTTGCACATAGCGCAGCTTCTTTGTTTCGACGGGGTCGTACTTGAGGTTGACATGTGAACTGCGTATTCTTTTCCTTTAGATTTTTCTCTGGTCGGGGGCGTGACAAGCTCCAACGTGCGGAATTTCGCTTGCAGAAACATCTTAAGTGCGTCCCAGTCCGGTAACTCTTCGGCGTTATCCTTGTAAGCAACTTCTTCCCATTCACGATGCGTCTCTGGGTCTAATTTTTGAACAACTAAAAATATTATGAGTGGATCCCAAGAGCTCGTTGTCAATTCTAGATTTTTTAGTGCATTCAGACATTCTGTAGTTGTGTCCAATATAGATTTAATGTTACTTGCGGTTTGTACAGATATCTTCCTTTGTGTAAATAATCTCTTCAATATTGAATTGACAATAATGGGCTTGTTACCGAATCGCGCCTTAAGCATTCTAAACGATTCTTCATAGTTAACCTCTGTAACTTGCACGTGCTTCAAGAGTGACAAGGCTTCGCCGGTAAGGCTGCTTTTCAAATAGTGCAGCTTTTGTACTTTAGTTAATGTTTGATTATCGTGCACTAATGATGTAAACAAGTCTTGATAAGCAGGCCACTCATCGTAAATACCTGAGAAGGTTGGGAGTTGAATCCTCGGTAATTTAACATGCACTTCCCTTGATAGGCCAGAATCACTGTTATAGTTAGCTTGCATCGATACCGGCGACGATTTGATGTATGTACTCAATAAATCATTTAGATCGGCTAATAAAGATACATACAAATCTTCGTGAACAAAGTAATCTTCGTTAGTAAAGTATGGAATGTCGAGTCGTTGCGGTTTCGGTACACACTTCACTAATTCTATATGTGTATTTTTGTACGTAGACCAATACTCTTCGATGTCTTTAATCCGTGTTTCTATGTATCCTTTTGTAAGACGTTGTTTCGGACATTTCTTGAGATTTATTTGTGCTTTTGATAATTTCATAGCCGTATCTTCCAGCACACTTAATAATTGTTCGGGAGTATTAGCCATTTTTGATGTATTTTCCTTCAATTTGTCGTTAAAATAGAACGTTTCTATGTTTCTTCGTAGTTAATATCTTGTTATGATCACGTCAACTAACTAGGCTCAAATTGACCATTTATTTTTTACAACAAATCCTTTCTTTTGTTCTTCGCTCGCCTCTCGACCCGTCCTTTTGTATTGCGCTCAATGTGTGAAACGTCGTAAGTCCAATAGTGTCCGGCTCGATGTCGACCAAATGTTATAGTAATAAAGTTCACTTTTGCTTGCGGGGATTTTAGGTGAGAGAAATACGTGGTTGCATTGCACTGATTTATTTACGACTGGTTTAACATTATGGATTCTTAATTCTTATGATGACACACACACATGCATTCGTACTTAATGAACATACCTACATATACAACAGATTCTAACACAACAACCTCACTGTGGTTCGAAACTAGTAGAGCTTTTCTCAGTATATTCACGTGAGTAAACATTTTTATGTGTTACGATATAAACTTAATTTAACCTTTTATAAACATATTTTATAAGTATATTTATACCAACAGAAGGCCACCTAACCCCCCCGGTGGTCCCCCACGACGCCGCGAACACCGCGCGCGCCGACACGACGCGGCGGCGCCACGTCGCCGACACCAGCGGGGAGAGCACCTCGCGACACTGCCTCGTCGGGGACGGAGACATCTATACTTCCACTCGGACAGGTAATATGTACGGTCAAAGGTCAAAAGTCCACTGCCACCGTAAGACTATTATCGGTTATACCCACACACACGCATTTTTGTATCCATGTGCGTACGCGTGCGTGTGTTTATGCGTACGCACGCGTAGTGTGGCACGGCAGTGGACTTTTGACCTTTGACTGTACATTCATTCAATTTGCCGCAAATTAGAATATACCACCTTTACTCTTATTGCGGGTGTCATATACCCGACTAAGGCCCGAATACTGAGAGGCTACTCAATTGTAAATTGTACTTAAATATTGTGCCGTCTCTGTCATTATACAAAGAAATAGCTACTTCCGCGCGGTTTCACTCGCTCTGCTCGGCGCCTATTAATCGTAGCGTAATATTTTATAGCCTATAGCCTTCCTCGATAAATGGGCTATCCAACACAGAAAGAATTTTTCAAATCGGACTTGTAGTTACGGAGATTAGCGCGTTGAAACAAACAAACAAACTTCAGCTTTATAATATTAGTATAGATTTGTACTGACAGAACTATACGTAAGCGCGACTTAAACTTGAGTAGCGTTTGGGTATTTATTTGGACATAAGGAACGAAGGGAATTAGTAATAGAAGAATACATTTGTCGCTAGTCTTTATCTCAACTCTTCCCGCGGGTTTTTTTATGGCATAAGCCGGTAAACGAGCAGACGGATCACCTGATGGTAAGCAATCGGCGTCGCACATGGACACCTGGAACACTAGAGGCGTTACAAGTGCGTCACTGGCTTTTTGGGGAGATTGAGGAAGGGGAGGGTAATTGGGCCTCCGGTAACCTCACTCACACGACGTGAAACAACGCTTGCGTTGTTTCACGTCGGTTTTCTGTGAGGCCGTGGTATCACTCCGGGCGAGCCGGTCCATTCGTGTCGACGCATGGGTCTCCCACACTTGTGCCCTATACCCGACTTAGATACTATTCGTGATAGGAGACAATCGAGCAGACGTATCACCTGATGGTAAGCAATCAGCGTCGCAAATGAACACCCGCAATATCCCTAAAGAGTTACAAGTGCATTGTTAAAGTTCGGGGTTTAGGGGTGTGGGGATTTTGGGGGATTAATACAAGATTTCTTATTTTTTTTGTTTTTCTCTCAACAGATGGCAGTTCGTCTTCGGACACGGAATCCGACTTCTCGACTCTAGACGATGTTAATACAGACAAAGATATATATAGGCTGGGGGGCAAACTGTGTGTTGCTAACCTGGCTAGGTGAGTTAGTTACTTATTATTAATAATAATAATAAATGTATATTAACCATAATTTGTACAGTAACTCTTATATATAAAATTAATCAATACAACATACATACATACATAACTTCACGCCTGTCTCCCATGGGGGTAGGCAGAGACTAAGGAACGCCAATTACTACGATTCTTACATACCTCTTTCGCTTCATTAACAGTCATCAATCTTTTCATGCATGCTCGTCGGTTAAGGGTACTTTTAATTTGGCCCTTCTTTAATATATCGCCAATCTGGTCACTATATGTCCGTCTAGGGCGCCCTCTACCGACGGCTCCATTCATATCCGCTCTGTATACTTCTTTCGTTACTCTACTTTCATCCATCCTTTCTACATGTCCAAACCAGCGTAACATTCCCTTTTCAATCCTTATCACTACATCGTCTTTCAATCCACACCTCTCTCTAATAACACTATTTTTCACTCGATCACTCAATTTTAGTCCACACATACTTCTCAGAGCTCTCATTTCCACCGCATTAATCCTGCTTTCATGCTTCTTCTGCCACACCCATGATTCACTACCATACATAAGCGTTGGTGTCAATACACACTGCATTACAGCAAGTCGAGCTTTGCTGGATATTATTTTAATCAATACAACATCATTATAAAAAGTGAGTACTTAAGATGAAACTATGGGACCCAAGGTAAGATCCAGAGAAGATATTCCAATGAGTATTCCTGTTAAATACGTATACATAATATGTATTGTTTATATACACAGGTAATGCAACAAAGTATCAACAAGCACAAAACATAAAAATCCGAGCCAGTCCCATAAAAGCTTGCAATGTATCCATAAAAATTACAAAATTTCGCATTTGTAATATTTAAGTATCGGCGTCGCCCATGGACACTCGAAACACCAAGGCATTACAAGTGCGTTACCGGTCTTTTTGGAATTGGGATTTTGAGGATTGTGGAGGATTTGGGGATTCGGGAGACGGGGACTAGGGAGGGGGGTAATTGGACCTTTGGTAACCTCACTCACACGGTGTAACACAACGCAAGCGTTGCTTCACGTCGGTTTTCTGTGAGGCCGTGGTATCACTCAGGTCTAGGCGGCTCATTCGTGCCGAAGCATGGCTCTCCCACACTTATATAAGGGCTAGTTTAGCCGAGAATAAAATAAGCTCTAGTCGCTGGGTGTGTGATACCCGATAGATGGACTACAAAGGATGGTGGGTTAAAATGTATGGGCGACGCACTTATGTCCGCCACAGTACTGACTAGTTCTGTTTGGAAGGTACAGCCATAGTTCACTTTTTGTCCCGAACCTAACCTGCCCGGCAAGGAATATCGGGTTCGATTCCCGGTATTACTAGGTTTTTAAAAAATTCTCAGTAGTAGCACAGAGTCTAAAATTGTGCCCGGTATATGGCAATAGGCTCACCCCCTATTACATGGGACTCATAAGATAAATAGTGAAAAGTGGGTGTTATATTTTACAGTGGCATTAGGTGTCGTAATGTGCACATCTGCCTACCCCTTCAGGGATAAAAGGCGTTATGTTTTTCTTAACTAAATTAACAATATATTGACGTGTGAAAACGCTCATTTTGTTACCTTTTTATAAAAATCATCATCAACAGCCTATAAATGCCCACTGCTGAGCAAAGCCTCTTCTCACACGGAGAAGGTTTGAGCATTAATCACCACGCTTGCTCAATGGGGGTTGGCGATTACAAACTTATAATTTTATAAAAATATTCTGTGTTATTATTGTATTTATTTAATTCCAGATGTCGTCCCCGCGTGCTCTCAGCTCGTTCCAAGATGTATCTATGGAACGTACTGACGGTGGCAGTGTTCTATACTCTACCGGTCATACAACTTGTTGTTACGTACCAACGGGTGAGTAATGTTATATTTTGGGTCCCGCTGTAGCTCGAAACCAGTTGAGTGTCCTCGAATTTAGTCGAGCAATGATAATAACCTGTTGTGTTGTTTATAATGAGTAGTTTCTAAAGAAATTTATAGTATAGTATTTGAGCTATACCGGGTATAGTTCACATTAGTATGGTTTAGGTCTTTGGTCAGAAATCGAACCGGAACCCACCCAATCATTAAATTAACATTATCGAAAAAACTAAGCGAATCTATCAAAGCTGATATTTTAAAGTTATTTTCCTTTTCGATCTCTTTGACTAAATTTTGGTGTTACATTGTTCTCACACAATCGAACCAATAAAACTGTGTAACTGGAGAATTGTATTGTGAACCTGATTGGAAAAGAGTAACCTATGGAGTTACTTGCTCGTTCTTCTCCATAGGAATCTACACCTTGGAATGAGCAAATAGCTTCACTTTTAATTTTTATTGTTGACGTACAAAAGTGTCTTCCTGGTGTAATTGAAATAAATGATTAAGAATTAACTTGATTTGACTATCAAAATATATTAATAATACATAAACATAACATCACGCCTTTTACCCCCGAAGGGGTAGGCAGAGGTGTACATTATACCACCGTACAATGTAACACCCACTGTTCACTATTTATGTTATGAGTCCCATGTAATAGGGGGTGAGCGTATTGCCATATACCGGGCACAATTCCAGACTCCGTGCTACTACTGAGATTTTTTTATAAAAACCCAGTAATAATTTGCCCGACCCGGGAATCGAACCAGAGACCCCTTGCCTGGCAGTCGCAATTGCGACCACTCGGCCAACGAGGCAGTCTTAATCAATATTAATATTAATTATTATTATTTCAGCTCCTAAACCAATCAGGCAATCAAGATCTATGCTACTTCAACTTCCTATGCGCGCATCCGTTGCTGGTACTGTCAGATTTCAACCACGTGTATTCGAACCTGGGATACGTGTTACTGGGGCTACTATTCCTCGCCCAGGTCTGGAGGAGACATAATACGCATCAGAATAAGACTGCTGAACAGGTGAGATATTAATTAAGGCCTACAGTAGGCTGCGCGACATCGCCGCGCCCGCGCACGCTGCTTATAAGAAAGAACCCCTCTGTGGTTCGAAACTAGTAGAGCTTTTCTCAGTACAGTGGAGCCCCGGTAATCCGGCCCCTGGCTAATCCGGCACCCCCTATAATCCGACATCGTTTATTACATACACGTATTCATTAATTCACAATTGAACAAGTAACAACTTATGCGCACTATCACTATTGTGCTCGACGCGTAGGGTATTGTTTTGATTCTGATTGATTAGTTTTAAATTGATTCATTAAGTTTGATTATTTTAGTACATAATATGTACATTTGTTTGTACACTTATCGTTTTAATTTACTAAATTTGACATACATAACGAAGTATGAATTGTAATCTTAGAATAGAATAGAATAGAATATCATTTATTTCCAAGTATATGGTACATTGAGGTTTTACATTAAATATTGTTTCACATACACTACCATTGCTGGTGTAGAAATATTATGTTAATCATGCTTTATAAAATAAATAAAAAAAAACTAGTAATTACAATAATGCCAAGTAAATTGATTCAATCACACATCTAAGATTTTGCTTGGTACATGACAGTAAATAGAAGTATCAGTGTCATTGGGTCTGTAATTTGCCGGATTACAGGGTACTCCTTTGTAAAAAAAATCGGACTATAGGGGATCTTAGGCAGTACTCTATAATCCGACAAATTCGATAGTTCGACACTGCCCTGCAAAATGTTTGTCGAACTACCGGGGCTCCACTGTATATTCACGTGAGTAACCCGCGATTTTTAGTTAATTTAGTATGTCTCACGATAGGTGAGATATTTTTTTATTGGGACTAGTCCGTCACAACCTCCCAAAACCGCTGCAACTCCTGTGCACCAGGATCTACAGTGGATACAACCATGAAAACACCGGAACACTGAAGTCCAACGTCTCAGGGACATGAGTAACTGTCTTGGTTACCGCAACGAAATGAATCAGAAGATATTATAAGAGGAGAAGAAAAATAAACGACAGTTTTCAATTCATTCGGTAAATTACTGCAGGAGACATAATGCATGTACCCAAGATTAATCTACTAATATCAATCTTACCGTGGGTCCTTCTTTAAGGGGGAGAAGTCATTCTTTTTTCTTGTTCTTTTGTTGCCCCACACTAGGATTTTCTCCCATGTCGTGGGTGCGTTTACAAACATACAAGTTCACATACACATGACACTCATACCGGAATAACAATTTGTGGATCACACAAATAGTTGCTCCGTGCGGGAATCAAATCCGAGACACGTTGCGTGGCTGCCGGTTGCCCAGCGACCGCACTAATCGTGTTGTCGTTCGATGACTTCTCCCCCCTAGTTGATGCGGGAGGGATTGTCAGACTCTTACTGACTAAAAACCACCCCGTTCCTACTCCTGGAGCCCCGGTAACCCGTTAAGTTCTACGCGTCAGCCCTCTTGGGCCTCATCTGTGGTGGTCTGATGGCCCTTTGAGGCGCGAGCTGCCTATGCTCGCCGCCCGCAAGCTCGTGCAATCTTACCGTGGGTGTGCTATACCCGGCTACAGGACTACTAGCTACTCCCCCGCGGTTTCGCCTGCTACTCGGCTCCTATTGATCGTAGCATGGTGTTTTATAGCCTTTCTTTGATGAATGGACTAGCCAACACAAAAAGCATTATTCAATCACATTACGTTACATCAACAGCCTATAAGTACCCACTGCTGATCAAAGCCTCTTCTCACACAGAGAAGGTTTTAGCATTAATTACTACGCTTGCTCAATGCGGGTTGGCGATTTCAAACTTATAATTAGAGATTATAAGCCCAGGTTTCCGCACGACTTCCTCGTTGGCCGAGTTGTCGCAAGTGCGACTGCCGGGCAAGGGGTCTCGGGTTCGATTCCCGGGTCGGGCAAAGTATTATTTGATTTTTTAAAACTTCTCAGTAGTAGCAGTGAGCCTGAAATTGTGCCCGGTATATCGCAATAGACTCACCCCCCTATTACATGGGACTCATAACATAAATAATGAAAAGTGGGTGTTACATTGTACAGTGGCATTAAGTGCTAATGCGGACCTTTGCTTACCCCTCTGGGGATAAAAGGCGTGATGTTATGTTACTAAATGAACATTCAGTAATTCACCGAGGGAATTGAAAACTGTCGTTTATTGTTCTTCTCTTATAATATCTTCTGATTCACTTCGTTGCGGGAACCAAGACAGTTGTTCATGCCCCTGGGACGCGCCGGGCTTCAGTGTACAAGTGAAACAAGTGAATTTATTTCTGCAAATAGGCTACAAGGCAGCACTTTTACACGTCAATTTTATCAAGCGAACGATGAGGTCGACGGTCGACGTATGTATCCTTACTAATATTATAAATCTGAAAGTGAGTTTGTTTGTTTGTTCCACTATCACGCCGTAATTACTAAACCGATTGCTTTGAAATTTTGCGGACGTAAAGTTAGAAGTCCAGATTAAATAATAGGGTACTTTTTATCCCGGAAAAATGTGATATTCCCGAGGGAAAACAAATGTATTAGTATAGATGGCGCTGTGAGTATTGGTATATGTCACAAAGGCTTCTTTTTATCCTTTTGTGACGCGAGCGAAGCCGCGGGTAAAAGCTAGTAAATAATAAATTGATCTTATTTCCAGAAGGAACTAGGTATACCGCAGCACTTCGGCCTCCTGTACGCGATGGGCATAGCGCTAGTTAGCGAGGGCCTCTTGTCTGCTGCCTACCACGTCTGTCCTAATAGCATGAACTTCCAATTCGGTGAGTATTATACTAACCAAGGACTTTGAAAGAAAAACTAGTAGAGATTTTTTCAGTATGCCCGTTCAAGTATTACGTAAGCACCATGGGGGGGTGGGGGTTTTTTTAAGGGGGGAAACGGGCGCCGTCAACTGGGACTGGTCAGCTCCAGACTGTATTACTGTCCTTAAGGTGGTTTTCTTTTTCGATCACTTTGACTAGATTTTAGTGTTACATTGTTCTCGCACAATCCAAACAGCAAACTATGTAACTGGAGAATTGTATTGTGAACCTGATTGAAAAAGAGTAACCTATGGAGTTTCTTGCTCGTTCTTCTCCATAGGAATCTACACCTTGGAATGAGCAAATAGCTTCACTTTTAATTATTTTTGTTGACGTTCAAAAGTGCCATTTGGAATTGGGGGGGGGGGGGGAGTTAAGAGAGAGAAAATCATCGAATGACTGCTCCCGCCTGGGTGAGGCGGGAGGGAGTGTCTGACTAAAAACCACCCCGTTCCTACTCCTGCACTTCGAGTCGGAGCCCCGGTTACCCGTTAGGTTCTCCGCGGCATGATATGGAGGGTAGGGGAATCTAGATGATGATTACGTCAGCGGTAGTTTTTTACTTTTTTACACGAATGGCAACCCTCATATTGAAATTATAAACGACAAAGAACTAGACATTATGGTATCTGAAGAGAATATTAAAATTACAATATAAAAAAGATATAATTTAAAATGTTTATGCAAGCAAAGGGATAGGGAGTAAGATCTTTGCTTACTTTTGCTGACGAGGGGGGTGGGGGGGGGGTATATAATTGTAAAAAATTTGCTTACGTAATATTTGAACGGCTCATATTTTCACGTGAGTAACCCGCGATGATTAGTTAAAAGGAATCCTTAGTAAAAGTATGTCCTGGTTTTAAGCTACCTCCCCACGTCGCGGAGAACCTAACGGGTTACCGGGGCTCCGGCTCGAAGTGCAGGAGTAGGAACGGGGTGGTTTTTAGTCAGTAAGAGTCTCATTCAGGCGGGAGAAGTCATTCGATGACTTTCCCCCTTAAAAAGAAGCTACATCCCCACCAATTTTCATCCAAATTAATTTACCTGTTCTTGAGTTATAAATACTGTAACTAACACGACTTTATTTTATATCCTTACTAATATTATAAATCGGAAAGTGAGTTTGTTTGTTTGTTCCCCTTTCACGCCGTAACTACTAAACCGATTGCTATGATTTTTGCAGACGTAAAGTTAGAAGTCCGGATTAAATAATAGGGTACTTTTTATCCCAGAAAAATTTGATATTACCGAGTGAAAACAAAAGAATTGGTATAGATGGCGCTGTATGTATTGGTATATGTTACATTGACTTTTTATCCTTTTGTGACGCGAGCGAAGCCGCGGGTAAAAGCTAGTAGATACATAGATACATAAAATAGAATGTAGATTATGAATTTATGTTTGTATGTATATTTGTAGATACATCGTTCATGTACGTGACGTCAGTGCTATGTATGGTAAAGATTTACCAGTCCCGACACCCAGACATTAATGCGCGTGCGCACGCCACCTTCGGGGTACTCGCGCTTATTATATTTATTGGTAAGTTTTGTTTGTTTTACTTTTTTATGTCATGTGTCATCACAATAGTATAGTGAGGCAAACGAGCAGACGGATCACCTGATGGTAAGCAATCGGCGTCGCCCATGGACACCTGGAACACCAGAGGCGTTACAAGTGCGTTACCGGCCTTTTGGGGATTGTGGAGGATTCGGGAATTGGGGAGACTGGGGAGGGCGTAATTGGGCCTCCGGTAACCTCACTCACACGACGAAACACAACGCAAGCGTTGCTTCACGTCGGTTTTCTGCTCGTTGGTGGTATCACTCCGGTTGTGCCGGCCCATTCGTGCCGAAGCATGGCTCTCCCACACTTATTTGGTATGGTAAGCAATCAGCGCAGCCCATGGACACCCGCAATACCAGAAGTTTTAGAATGGCGTAGCTGACGTCGGGTGGCTATTCAAGAGAGTAACGATGGAGTTTCTTGCTCGTTCTTCTCCATTCGAATCTACATTTTGGAACGAGCACCTAGCTTCACTGACATACAGACTGACAGACAATTCAATTTTTGACGTTTCAAAAGTGCGTAATTAAGATTTTCATTGAGATAAATGCTTAACATAACATTACGCCTTTTATCCCCGAGGCGTAGGCAGAGGTGTACATTACGGCACTTAATGCCACTGTACAATGTAACACCCCTTTTCACTATTTATGTTATGAGTCCCATGTAATAGGGGGTGAGTCTATTGCCATATACCGGGCACAATTCCAGACTCCGTGCTACTACTGAGAATTTTTAAACCCAGTAATATTTTGCCCGACCTCGGAATCGAACCCGAGACCCCTTACCCGGCAGTCGCAATTGCGACCACTCGGCCAACGAGGCAGTCATATAATCAGTATTTATTTATCTTATTGAAATAAGTAATTAAACTTCCTTTTTAATATTCCAGGTCTAGTCGGCGTTCTAAACGCGAACTTCTACTTCTGGATCGCGTTCACAGTGCTACACCTCGTCACCTGCCTTGTCATGACGTTCCAGATCTATTACCTTGGGAGATTCAAACTCGGTGAGTTATTTTTACCGACTCTTAGTAGTAATCGAGCAGATGTATCACCTGATGGTAAGCAATTAGCGCCTCCCATGAACACCCGCAACACCAGAGAAAAAAAAAGCGCCGTGGCCGGCTTTTTAAAAAGGAATACGCTCTTTTATTGAATGTTTGAAGGTCGTATCAGTTCGGAAATACCGCCGACGACAGATCATTCTACAGTTTTGCTGTGCGAGGCCCCCGTAAATAATCAGACTCAGCCTTTCCGACCATGGTATCGAACCCGAGACCATTTGCTCGGCAGTCGCACTTGCGACCACTCGGCCAACGAGGCAGTCTACTACGAGTGGTCCTATCAAAAAAAAACGGTCGGAGGTACGGCGAACCTAACGGGTAACCGGGGCTCCGGCTCGACGTGCAGGAGAAGGAATGGGGTGGTTTTTAGTCAGTAAGAGTCTGACACTCCCTCCCGCCTCACCCGGGCGGGAGCTGTCATTCGATGATTTTCCCCCCTTAAAAAAATCCAAAAAAACGGTTCGAGGCAGAAAGCTACGTGTTGTTTTGAATTAATTAAGTATTGGTAACGATTGTTTCAACTGTGAAACACCGCGAGGACACCGGTGACCGCAACCTATTGTTCTTTAATTGTGTGTATAATGACGGTACTCTCTGAGTAACAAGTATGGTTGTGTGTCCAGACGGCGGGCTGGTGTGGACTGTATGTATGTATGTCCCTGTGATGTACAATGAATAAATGTATGTCTGTCCGTCCAGACGGCGGGCTGGTATGTCGCGCGGCCCGCTCGCTAGTGTCCCGGCCGCTGGCCGCCATCACGCCGACGCACTGCGGCCGGTGCGTACTGCTCATCATTGCCAACCTCTCCAACTGGGCCATCGCGGCCTACGGGTGAGTAAAGCATTTAATATTTTTTTATACTTTACTAGCTTTTACCTGCGGCTTCGCTCGCGTCACAAAAGGATAAAAAGTAGCCCATGTGACATATACCAATACACACAGCGCCATCTATACCAATAATTTCGTTTTCCTTCGAGAATATCTAATTTTTCCGTACCGTAATAAAGTACCCTATTGTTTAATCCAGACTTCTAACTTTACGTCTGCAAAAATTCAAAGCAATCGGTTTAGTAGTAACGGCGTGAAAGTGGAACAAACAAACTCACTTTCCGATTTATAATATAAGTAACGATAGGTCGACGTTTGACCACCATCTCGCCTGATGGTAAGCGATGATGTGGTCTACGATGGAGCACGCCTACCTATGAGCAACCTGTTCACTCGGGACTTGAAGACACCCAAGTCATATTTGACGATTATTTAACCAAGACATAACATGATTTTTATTGATGTCAAATAGCATACTTATATCTGAAAAAACATGGGGATAAAATTACAACACCTAATACCACTGTACAATGCAACACCTACTTTTCACTATCTATGTTATGAGTCCCATGTAATAGGGGGTGAGCCTATTGCCATATACCGGACACAATTCCAGGCTCCGTGCTACTACTGAGATTTTTTTTAAACCCAGTAATACTTTGCCTGACCCGGGAATCGAACTCTAGACCCTTTGCCCGACAGTCGCACTTGCGACCACTCGGCCTACGAGGTAGGCAGAGGCAGCAGTAAATATTTATAATAATTTATTATATTTTTGTTACAGAGTGGCTCAACACAGTCGTGACTTCGCGTCCCATCTCCTGCTTGTCCTCATGAGCAATCTGTTCCTCTACACATTGTTCTACATCGTTATGAAGTTACTCAATCGGGAGTCGATTCGGTGGTATAGGTATGTATAGCCGGTGGTATGGTGGGGGGGGGGGGCACTCACTGAATTGTACAACTTGATTCCCCCTAGTCCTTTCCATCATCGTACCACAAGATTATCGGCGAAGCGTCACCGATTCATGGTAGATGTCCCACCCACACGCGTGTTGTGCGTACTGCTAAGGAGTGGAATTCTTTGCCAGAGTCTGTATTTCCTGAAGGGTAACCTGGGTGTCTTCAAGGCGCGAGTGAATAGGTTGCTTATGGGACGACGTGCTCTATCGTAGACCGCATCATCGTGCACCACCAGGCGAGATAGTGGGCAAACGTCGGCCCATAGTAGCCACATAGTATAAAACAAAGTCGCTATCCGCCGTCTGTCTGTCCCTATGTATGCTTAAATCTTTAAAACTACGCGACGGATTTTGATGCGGTTTTTTAGTAGACAGAGTGATTCTTAAGGAAGTTTTATATGTAATTGCAATACATGCATATTGCACCCGTGCGAAGCCGGGGCGGGTCGCTAGTCAAAAATAAAAAACATAAAAAAATTGTATTATACAACCTACTCCGCCTTTTTACCCGCTGCCACGTATACCACGTGTACCCACGTGAGTATACCGCGATTTTTAGTTAATTTACTATGTCTCACAATAGTTATTATAAAAACATAAAAAAAATTTAGGCAGTATGACTGCCTCGTTGGCCGAGTGGTCGCAAGTGCGACTGCCGGGCAAGGGGTCTCGGGTTCGATTCCCGGGTCGGGCAAAGTACTACTGGGTTTTTTAAAAATCTCAGTAGTAGCACGGAGTCTGGAAATGTGCCCGGTATATGGCAATAGGCTCACCCCCTATTACATGGGACTCATAAATAATGAAAAGTGGGTGTTACTTCTCTGCCTACCCCTTCGGGGATAAAAGGCGTGATGTTAGTTATGTTATACAGTATGAAGTTTGCCGGCTAGTTAGTATATATATATATTATATTTGTTTGTTTGTCCACAGCTGGGTATTCATAGCGCTAACATACTCAATATGGTTCGGCTCCAGCTACTTCTACTTGGACCAGAACACTAATTGGGCCGTGAGTATATTTATTGTATAAATGAATCAGCTCTCTCGTCAGTTAAATGTTAACAAAAACGAATGCTAATCATAATTGATGTCGCGGAGAACCTAACGGGTAACCGGGGCTCCGGCTCGACGTGCAGGAGAAGGAACGGGGTGGTTTTTAGTCAGTAAGAGTCTGACACTCCTTCCCGCCTCACCCAGGCGGGGGCAGCCATTCGATGATTTTCCCCCCTAAAAAAAATCATAATTAATGTTTTTTGAAGTCCATATTAACAAATGTACTAAACTAAGTACAGTTTTACAATTTTATTATTTATTAATACTGCCTCGTTGGCCGAGTGGTCGCGTGTGCGATTGCTAGGCTAGGGGTCTCTGGTTCGATTCCCTGGTCGAGCAAAGTATTACTGGTTTTTTTAAACAGATCTTAGTAGTAGCACGGAGTCTGGAGTTGTGCCCGGTATATGGCAATAGACTCACTCCCTATTATATGGGATTCGTAACATAATTAATGAAAAGTGGGTGTTACATTGTACGGTGCCGTAATGTGCACCTCTGCCTAACCCTTCGGGGATAAAGGCGTGATGTTATGTATGTATGTATTATTTATAAACAAATATATTATTCATAACTTGTCGTGACTTGGCATGATTATGGCATATTATAGAAAGAGATAAATTCAAGATTGTAGAATATGACGCAAGAAAGAGAATGCATAATGCAACGTAGAGTAAGAGATAGAGAGACAGTTATAGTCCCTCTTACTCAGGCAACTAATCACCAAAATTTGTTTCCAGTTGACCCCAGCACAATCTCGTCAAAGCAACCGTCAATGCTCTCTACTCCAGCTGTATGATGCCCACGACATTTGGCACTTCCTATCGTCGACCGCCATGTTCTTCTCATTTAATATGTATCTAACTATAGATGATAACTTATCTAGAACGCCCAGGAGTAATATTATGGTGTTTTAAATTATAAAAAGTTTATTTTTGTGGTCCAATTTTCCCCTCTATATAGTTAATCTCCCAATCCCCGTATCCTTACCCTAATCCCCCATTCCCTCATTACCCTGATCTCCCAATCCTCTAATACACAGATCTCCCGACCCCCCTTATACTCAAATTACCAATCCCCCAATCCCCCTTTATACCCAGATTCCCTGATCCTATCCCCCTTCAGAATCAAATCCCCAAGTCGAAAATTTTGTCGAGGCTTATGTTTTGTGAATGAAAAATTTTTGTTTAGTGTATAATTTATTGTGTATATGAAAAATATTTTATTTTAATTAATAATGTTGTAATAATTTTATGTTTTTGTATTAATGATGTGATTTTTTGAGGTCTTAAAATTCGGGTTAATCTTATATTAAGCTCACTCCCTATTACATGGGACTCGTAACGTAACTACGTATATGTGCACCTCTGCCTACCCCCTTAGGGATTTAAACGAAATTTAAATTACATATCTTGTATATTAAATTGGTAAAATTATTATTATTTAATAAATTAAATAATTATTTATAAAAAAGACTGCCTCGTTGACCGAATGTCAAGGTCAAGGGGTCTCGGGTTCAATTCCCGGGTCAGGCAAAGTATTACTGGGTTTTAAAAATTCTCAGTAGTAGCACGGAGTCTGGAATTGTGCCCGGTATATAGTAATAGGCTCACCCCCTATTACACGGGACTCGTAACATAAATAGTGAAAAGTGGGTGTTACATTGTACAGTGGCATGCTGTAATGTGCACCTCTGCCTACCCCTTCGCGGATAAAAGGCGTGTTGAAAGTTAGATTTGGATTTTTAAGCCCAACATCTAAAACATGGCCGCGATTAGCGATGTTTTAATTTCCATTCATCCATGACATTTATAGTGCTCAAAAAAGTATTATATCAGAAAAAAGTAGTGTTTAAATTATGTCTAAATGGATTAGTGTTTCTGTCTACCTAGGTAAATAGGGTAGATGCCTAATTTTTATTTTAATGCCCGTCTGGTAAATTATTTAAAAACATTAGACTCGTATTTTTTATTTTCTTACTGAAACGAATACTTTCGACGATATATTGATTTGAAATATCGCATGACGTCACTTCTATGTCATGTCGCGCGACGTCACTTCTATGTAGATTTTATACGTAGAAATGACGATATAGCCCCCACTCCTAAACTTTGATTCGTTATATCTAAGTATTGTTTTATTATACGACAAAATAAAAAAAAATACGTGTCTAATATTTTTTCATTACCTAACTTACGGACTAATTATATTTTTAATTTTCATACCCTGTCATCATCCCTAATAAAAGGCGTAATGTTATTTTATAGTTTGCTCAATTTCAGTAAAAAATCTGAATTAATAATACATATATTTAACTCTTTTGAAATTGGTCAAACGTTTAATTTTATGTTCTTAATACATTCATTTGAATTATATATTATTTCATTTTTAATTTGTAAATATATTTGGATTATATGAATGTTTGTTAATTACTATTCTACTAATGTATTAGTAAAAAATTCTTATGTATGTATGTATATGGCTATTGTATATAGTTCATACATAGTTTTTAAAAAACCTAAGTGAAATATATAATATTGTTAGGGTAGCTGAAAAAATTTGATCTAAAAACATGCTTTTGATTATCAGTGTTCATTCAAGTGTGGAATAGTAATGTTTCGGCACGAATGGGCCGGCTCGACCGGAGTGATACCACGGCCGAGCAGAAAACCGACGTGAAACAACGATTGAGTTGTGTTTCGTCGTGTGTGTGACGTTATCGGTGGCCCAATTACCCCCCTCCCCAGTCCCCCCAATCCCCGAATACCCCACAATCCTCAAATTCCACATTCCTGAAATGCAAATGTTTTCAGCCGCCCTAGTAGATGATATGTGGACTTCTATATATCTTTTGGGCAATAAAAGGAGTGATGTTATAACATAAGTGAATTTTAAAGAATTTCTAACTATAACTAGTGATTTTAAGATCTTAAAATATTTAATTTTAATGTGTAAACAAGGTTAGTAAAAACTCAGGATGTAGGAATTATGAGATGTAGGAATTCAGTAATAAACAATACCACGTGACGTTTATATTTAAAATTAAAATACAATTCCGACCTAAAAACGGAGTCCCTAACGTTTTTATGTCTTCAAAAGGGAATGTTGCGCTGGTTTGGACATGTAGAAAAGATTGATGAAAATATAGTAACGAGAGTGGGCCGGCTCGACCGGAGTGATACCACGGCCGAGCAGAAAACCGACGTGAAACAACGCTTGCGTTGTGTTTCGTCGTGTGAGTGAGGTTACCCCTTCACCAATCTCCCCAATCCCTGAATCCCTAACGACCCTCAAACTCCTAATCCCCAAAAGGCCGGTAACGCACTTGTAACGCCTCTGGTGTTCCAAGTGTCCATGGGCGACGCCGATTGCTTACCATCAGGTGATCCGTCTGCTCGTTTACCGGCTTATGCCATAAAAAAAGTGGCCAGCTTGCCACAGATAACATATACATATAATAACAGTGACGTATGTCGAATAAAATACAATTTAGTTACGTTTAAAATGAGAGCATTTTGTTATAAAGGGAATAATTCCCTTTTTAAGTTATATAAAACTAGCTTTTACCCGCGGCTTCACTCGCGTCACAAAATGATAAAAAGTAGCCTATGTGACATATACCAATACACACAGCGCCATGTATACCAATACTTTGGTTTTCCCTCGGGAATATCACATTTTTTCGGGATAAAAAGTACCCTATTATTTAATCCGGACTTCTAACTTTACGGCTATAAAAATTCAAAGCAATCGATTTAGTAGGTACGGCGTGAAGGCGGAACAAACAAACAAACAAACAACTCACTTTCCGATTTATAATATTAGTAAGGATGTTCGATAAAGTGATGAAAATACGCTCAAGGCTCCATTTATTTGCTCCAATGTGTAGGTGTTAATGTCGAAGCGTCATGCGACCGACGACTTGACATGATACCGACATCATAGAAAGCTTACTTATAACTACGCTTGTGTTTTTACTCACCTTGTTAAAATTATAAATAATTCCAATATTATAAGCTTACCAACACGGCTTAGAAATTAGTTTTTACACACCAAAGCTTATTCAATTAGATTAAGTAATATATTTCGACCAGATGTATGAATGTGATGGAAGCTAAAGGAGTCTATTACACCTTTGTCCTGTGGTTTACAGAAACTACTGAGCGCCACTTACTAGTACTCGGCCCGAAGTAAAATGGTTCTGTCTCGGTAATAAAATAGTTTTACAAACAAATAAAATGTTTGAAACAAAAAATAAATGGTGAACTATTGCAAAATGCAAACTTCGAAAGCGCATACGAACTCATAGTACAATTATCAAAACATCACGCCATGTCATTCTCGAAGAGATATTTCTCGTCGGGTGGCACGTGCGATGCGAATAGTGCCTACAAATTTACGTCTAGTGTTTCATGTGCGTATTTCCACGATTTTTTTTAATCTAAAATATTTTTTTCCTTCTCCAATCTCCCCAATTCCTGAATCCCCAACGATTCTCAGACTCCGAATCCCCAAAAGGCCGGTAACGCACTTGTAACGCCTCTGGTGTTCCAGTTGTCCATGGGCGACGCCGATTGTTTACCATCAGGTGATCCGTCTGCTCGTATACGGCTTATGCCATAAAAAAAATTACAACTTATTTTTTTTGATTTTACTTAATACATCGAAAGTATTCATTACGGCAAGTTGTTTTGCCGCGGGACAGAAACGAAATAGGATTACACGGTGTATAAGGAGCGTAGTAGGTGGCGCTTTGTAGCTTCTGTATACCATCAGATGTATGAATGTGATGGAAGCTAAAGAAGTATGTAAGGAGCGTAGTAGGTGGCGCTTTGTAGCTTCTGTATACCATCAGATGTATGAATGTGATGGAAGCTAAAGAAGTATGTAAGGAGCGAAGTAGGTGGCGCTCTGTAGTTTCTGTATACCATCAGATGTATGAATGTGATGGAAGCTAAAGAAGTATGTAAGGAGCGTAGTAGGTGGCGCTCTGTAGTTTCTGTATACCATCAGATGTATGAATGTGATGGAAGCTAAAGAAGTATGTAAGGAGCGAAGTAGGTGGCGCTCTGTAGTTTCTGTATACCATCAGATGTATGAATGTGATGGAAGCTAAAGAAGTATGTAAGGAGCGTAGTAGGTGGCGCTCTGTAGTTTCTGTATACCATCAGATGTATGAATGTGATGGAAGCTAAAGAAGTATGTAAGGAGCGTAGTAGGTGGCGCTCTGTAGTTTCTGTATACCATAAGACAAAGGTGTTTATGTATGTATGTATCAATTAGAAAAATGAGGTGCTACTTGGTATTCAAAGTTAAAATTTTAAATTTTAATTGAATCTTGCCGTTGCTTGAATGCTTGTTATGATAATTCAGAATTTTATCTATTTATGTTAGCGTAATGTTGAATTGGAACTACAGTGTCTTTGTTCCCCATATAAGCGCTAAACAAGAAGCCTTTTTGTCCAGTTACTATAGCTGTCAAAAAATGGACGTCCAATAGGGTAGATGCCTAATTTTTATTTTAATGTCCGTCTGGTAGATTATTTTAAATCATTAGACACATATTTTTTATTTTCTTACAAAAACGAATACTTTCGACGATATATTGATTTGAAATGTCGCGTGACGTCACTTCTATGTACATTTTATACGTAGAAATGACGTTTTAGCCCCCACTCCTAAACTTTGATTCGTTTGAGCTAAGTATTGTTTTATTATACGACAAAATAAAAAAATACGTGTCTTATATTTTTTCATTACCTAACTTACGGACTAATTAAATTTTTAATTTTCGTACACTGTCATCATCCCTATTGTGTCACATACAAACATCACTTCAACAGCCAATAACTGTCCCCTACTGACCAAAGCCCGGAGGTTTGAACATCAATCACCACGCTTGCTCAATGCGGGTTAG